CTGCTTGTCTGGGGTGCACCTATAGCAGCTGCAGAACAGTGAGGGATGCTACCAGTTTCTTTTTCTGCTGTCTTTGTTCCAGAATGATGCCTGCCAAATGTCAGTCTTTTGGATATAGAGGGGTCAGGGAGCTGCTTGAGGAGACAGTCTGTACTTTATAGGAGCTCAAGTGCTGAGCTGTGAGCTCTGTTGTTCATTCAGGGCTGTTAGACTGCTATGTTTAATTCTGCTGCAGCAGAACTCATAAAAAAACCCTTTTTATCTCAGATGCTCTGTCTCGGGGGGTTGGGGCTTTCTTTGTGAGTGTCCGTTGTGCTGTCCTGCCCAGCTAGGAGGCAGTCTAGTCACTATTTGCCTGCCGAGGCTCTGCCCTGCTGCTGCGGTCTCCGCCCTGCTGCCACAGGCTATGCCCTGCAGCAGAGTCTCTCTGTTGTGGCAGGTTGCCTCAGCAATGGCAGGCTGCGTCAGCAATGGGTGTGTACCTCAGTAGGGGTGGATTGCCTCGGTAATGATGGACGCCCCTCCCCCACCGAACTGCACCTTCCTGGGTTCAGCTGTGCCCACAGTGAAATTCTCCACCCGGAGCGTTTGGAATTGCCGTTTTGTTTGTCCCACTGCACTACCCCAAACACCGTTTCCCTGGAATCTCCTGGCCTGGCTCACTGTCCAAGTCCTGTTCAGTCAGATAGATATGCCAATCTGCCCTCTCAACTCTCAGATTGCCGGTTCAACAGGGCACCTGGACCAGTGCGCTTTGTGCGGAGCACTGTGGAGCGCCGCTGCACTACAGCTCCGGCTGCACCAGCTAAAACCTCTGCCTGGCGTCCCACGTCTCTTTTATACCTGGGAATTTCCCCGTTCTGTGGGCAACAAAGATCCGTCTGGAAATGTGGCCCTGACTCACCCTCTGCACGTTCACTGAGAGCTTCAATCCTGGGTTGTTCTCACTGCGCCATCTCAAGTCCCTCCCCAATTTTTTTTTTTGAGACAGAGTCTTGCTCTGTTGCCCAGGCTGGAGTGCTGTGTCACGATCGCAGCTCACTGCAACTTCCGTGTCCCAGGTTCAAGCCATTCTCCTGCCTCAGCCTCTCCAGTAGCTGGGACTACAAGCATGCGTCACCATGCCCAGCTAATTTTTGTATTTTTAGCAGAGACAGGGATTCATCATGTCGGCCAGGCTGGTCTTGAACTTCTGGCCTCAAGCCCAGTGATCCACCCTCCTCAGCATCCCAAAGGGCTGGGACTACAGGTGTGAGCCAGCTCGCCCAGGCTCTTCTACCCCAATTTGGAGGTGGGGAGGAGCTGATGATGAGGTGGATATAATCCCTCACACCAACTTTGCAAAGGGGAAAAATAATCACATCTTGAAGCATATTAGAATTTCCCCAAAACTTGTGGCATCTCAGAGGATTTTTTTCTCCCAATTTTCCACAATTTTTAATTCACAAAATAAAAAAAAATTTGACAAAAGTATTTTTTTGAGACAAGGTCTCTCTCTCTCTGTCTGTTGTCCAAGCTGGAGTGCAGAGGCAACATTATGGCTCACTGTAGCCTAGACCTCCTAGGCTCAAGCCATCCTCCCACTTCAGCCTTCTGAGTAGCTGAGACCACAGGTGCATGTCACCACACCTGGCTACTTTTTATTTTTTGTAGAGATAAGATTTCACCATGTTGCCAAGGCTGATTTCAAACTCCTGGATTCAAACCATCCTTCCATCTTGGCCTCCCAATGTTCTGGGATTACAGGCATGAGCCACCAAGACCAGCTGACAAAATCCAAAATATTTTTTTGGTTTAATTCTGTTACACCTGGTCAGTTCTCTCCATCTTCAACAAAACTTACTAAAGCTAAGGTTTACTTTCATTCCAAACCATTATACATCTCTGCCCTCAATTTAACTCATTTTTTGGTGTAATTTTTATTTTTTGAGATGGAGCCTCACTCTGTCTCCCAGGCTAGAATGCAGTGGTGTGATCTGAGCTCCCTGTAACTTCTGCCTCCTAGCTTCAAGCAATTATCCCGTCTCAGCCTCTGGAGTAGCTGGGATTACAGGCATGCACAACCACTCCTGGTTTAATAAATTTCAGCAGTATAAGTGCAGTTTGTTACATGGATGTATTGATACATGGATGCGTAATAAACCTGATAATTTAAACATGCTACCCTCTGACTCTTCATGAGGCATGAGTTCACCCATCTGTCCATCCACCAATCCACCCATCTATCCATCCATCTACCTACCCCTCCATCCATCCACCCATCCATCCATCCACCCATCTACCCATACACCCAAACATGCACCCACCCACCCACCCATCCATCTATCCATCCATACATACATACATACATACATCCAACAGTCCACCCATCCATCCACCCACCCACCCATCTACCCATCCATCCACCCATCTATCCACCCACCCACCCATCCACCCACCCATCCATCCATCCACCCACCCACCCACCCATCCACCCATCTGTCCACCCATCCACCCGTCCACCCATCCAACCGTCTATCCATCCATCCACCCACTTATCCATCCATCCATCCATCCATCCATCCATCCATCCATCCATCCTTCCTTCCTTCCATCCATCCACCCACCCACCCACCCACCCATCCATCCACCTGTCCACCCATCCACCCGTCCACCCATCCAACCATCCATCCATCCATCCATCCATCCATCCACTCACCCACCCATCTATCCATCCATCCATCCATCCATCCTTCCATCCATCCATGCATCCATTATTTGTTGGTTATCTGATATCTTTCTCTTTGCATTCCATGGTTCAATCTGATTTCCAATCACAAGGTCCCCAAATGCACTGTGCACTTTAAAAACAGGGCTTATTTTGCTGGGCGCAGTAGCTCACGCCTGTAATCCCAGCACTTTGGGAGGCCAAGGCGGATGGATTGCTTGAGCCCATGAGTTCACGACCAATCTGGGCAACATGGTGAGACCCTGTCTATACAAAAAATACAAACAGTAACTGGGAGCGGTGGTGCATGCCTGTAGTTCCAGCTTTCAAGAGGCTGCGGTAGGAGGATCGCATGAGTCTATGAGGCAGAGGGTGCAGTGAGCTTAGTTTGCACCACTGCACTTCAGCCTGAGTGACAGAGGAAGAACTTATCACAAAAAAAGTGCTTATTTTATCTTCTAGTTATAAGAGTAGTACAGATTATTGCAAAATACACAGAGAAGATCAAAGAATAAAAGTCACCCAGAATTCCCCACTCAGGACCCGTCCCTGGATCCTCCCTCCCCCATCAGTATTCCATGCATTTCCTTCCAGCCTTTTTTCTCACGTGTCCAGGAGCACGTGACATCCTTAGCTTTGACATCCTTAGCTTGGATGCTACCCTCTCATTTCTGCCTCTCAAACACCTCAAGGCTCATGTCAAATACTTCTTCCTTCAGGAAGCCTTCTAGGATTTTCTTTCCTCTTAATGTTCTTTTCTCTGTGATCCTTTCCATCTGAAATGGAGCTTACTCTTAAAAACCCAAAAAAGCCCCCAAAACAAACTTTTGGCCAGGCACAGCAGCTCACACTTGTAATCCCAGCACTTTAGGAGGCTGAGGCAAGAGGACTGCTTGAGGCCAGGAGTTTGAGACCAGCCTGGACACCATAGTGAGATCCCATCTTAAAAAAAGAAAGACATTAAAAAATAGCTAGGCATGGAGGTTCACACCTGTGGTCTCAGTTATGTGGGAGGCTGAGGTAGGAGGATCACTTGAGCCCAGGAGTTCAAGGCTGCAGTGAGCTGTAATCATGTCACTGCACTCCAGCCTGGGTAACAGAGTGAGACCATGTCTCTAAACTTAAAAAATAAAAAATACAGCCACGTGCAATAGCTCATGCCTGTAATCCCAGCACTTTGGGAGGCTGAGGCGGGCAGATCACCTGAGGTCAGGAGTTCGAGACCAGCCTGGCCAACGTGTTAAAACCCTGTCTCTACTAAAAAGACAAAAATTAGCCCGGCATGGTGGCAAGCGCCTGTAATCCCAGCTACTTGGGAGGCTGAGGCAGGAGAATTGCTTGAACCCGGGAGGTGGAGGTTGCAGTGAGCCGAGATTGCCCTACTGCACTCCAGCCTGGGTGACAGAACAAGACTCCATCTCAAAAAAAGAAAATAAATAAATAAACAAACAAACATTGGCTGGGCATGGTGGCTTATGCCTGTAATCCAAGCACTTGGGAGGCCAAGGTGGGTGGATCACTTGAAGTCAGGAGTTCAAGAGCAGCCTGGCCAACATGGTGAAACCTCGTCTCTACTAAAAATACAAAAAATTAGCTGAGTGTGATGGCAAGCGCCTGTAATCCCAGCCACAAATCCTTTCCTGTGAGCCCCTGCAGGTTCAGCTTCAACCTGTCCCTTTAGTACATGATCTGAGCCCCTTTCATTCACCTACCTCTCAGTCTCTTGCCCTAGTGCATCATCCCAAGGGTGCTTCTGACAATCCAATCTGATTATACTTCTTCTCTGAAACCTTCCATAGCTCCCCAGTGCCCTCGGTCTTGAGCCTGACCTACCCAGCCTGATATTCAGTGCCTTCATGATCTGCTGCCTACAAGCTGCCTACTCTCATTCCCCACCAGCATCCTCTAACCTGCCTTGTATAGTTCAGTCCTCCCAAACTCAACCTGCCCTTTCACATCACCAGCTCTTTGCCCATGCTGCTCCCTTGCCCTGGAAAGCCACTGTTTTCTACTATATTTTGCCACATAGATGCCTACTTAATTCTGAGGCTCAGTTCCAATGCTTCCGCCTTCAGAAAACATTCCCTATTCCTCCCAGAAAGTGCTGTGACCTCTGGCTTCGATTCTCTGAGTCCCAAGCTCTGACCAATGGGTAGATGTGGGTATGTCTGTCTGCCATTGCATCCTCGTTCCCTCCAGCACCGTCTGGAGCATGGGGTGAATGAATGGGCTTGTGCCTGGAGTGAATGAATGGGCTTGTGTCCAAGCTGCAGTCTCCCTTCTCCTCTGCCAGGTGGCCCCTCAGCCTCTGTGGTTCTCAGACACAGTTGCAAACCTGCGGAAGCTGAAGGAGTTACCCTATCACCTACTTCACTCGGGCCGCCTGGAGGAGCTGAAACAGGAGGTGCTGGGTAAGGGCTATCCCCGTCTCAGGGGACCAAGCCTGGTGACTGTACCATGCTCTAGCCTTCTGGATCCTGGGGAGGGTGAACGGCAAATGTGGAAGTCCTTGGTTCCTTTTAAGGCAGAGGGTCTCACAAGGGACAATTCTATACCAAGGGGATGCCTCACAGTGTCCACAGATAGCTTTGGTTGTCATGACTAGTGGAGAAAGTGCTACTCGAATCTGGTGGGTAGAGGCCAGGGATGCTGCTCACCACCCTACAGTGCACAGGGCACCCCACCACAGAGAATAATCTAGCTCCAAATGTTAGCACAGGGTGAAAACCCCTGCCTTATCATGAGGGACCCTATCTGTCTATTTGTCAATCCATTCATCTACCCACCCATCCATCTATCTAACTATCCATCCATCTATCCATCCATTCATTCATCCATTCATCCATCCATCCATCCACCCATCCACCCACCCATCCACCCATCCACCCATCTTTCTGTCCATTCATCCATCTGTACATTCATCCATCCATGCATACATGCATCCATCTAACCTTCCATCCATCCAACCAGCCATCTGTTTATTCACCCATCCTTTTGTCCATCCATCCATTTATCCACCCATCTTCTGTCCATCCATCTATCCATCTATCTATCAATTTATACACCTATCCATCTATGATCTCCTCATTGAACCATGAGCTGGTTCTAGCCATCCATCCATCCATCCATCCCTCCCTCCCTCCCTCCCTCCACCCACCCACCCACCCATCATTCTATCTATCTATCTACCCATCTATCTATCAATTTATCCACCCATCTATCTATGATCTCCTCATTGAGCCATGAGCTGGTTCTAACCATCCATCCATCCATCCATCCATCCATCCATCCATCCATCCTTCTATCTATCTACCCATCTATCTGTCATTCTATCTATCCATCCACCCATCTATGTGTTCATTATCTATTCATTCATGTACCTTTCTGTTCATCCATGATCCATCCATCTACCCACCCATTATTCTATCCATTCACCCACCTATCTTTCTGTTTGTCCAACCATGCATCCATCCACCCAACATTCTGTCTGTCTGTCTGTCATCTATCCATCCATCCATTCACTCATCCCTGTGATTCTCAACCAGAGGAGATTCTGCCCTCCCAGGAGACACTTGAAAATGTCTGTGGACATGTTTGATTGTCACACTTGGGGTGGGGGTGCTACTGCTATCTGGTGGGTGGAGGTCAGGCACGCTGCATTACATCTCACAATGCAGAGTTCAGCCCCTTACCACAGAGAATGATCCTGCCCCAGTGTCACTACTGCTGAGCCTGAGATGCCCTGGAGGAGATGGAGAGATGATTCTCCATTTCCCAGGATGAACTGGAGGGAGGTAAGCACTTCCTACCTCCTCCTGCCTTCTCTCCCTCAGGCAGCATGGGCTGGATTTCCTGCCGGGGCATCTCTGGGAGCATCGAAGACCTGCTGGACGACTTTGACCTCTGTGCCCCTCACCTGGACTCTCCTGAGGTCGGCCTGGTCCGTGAAGCCCTCCAGCTGTGCCGCCCTGCTGTGGAGCTCCGAGGCATGGGTGAGTCTGGATGGCCTGGGCGGGAGTGACCTGGACGGGCACTGACTTCCAGAAACACGCTCTCATTGAGTCGTGAGCTGGATTTTCTTCAACCCTCATACCTTCCCTGCCTAAATATGTGGGTTTTTCCCCAGCACTGCTTCTAGAATTTTTTTTTCATGTGGTATCGCTGTGTCACCCAGGCTTGAGTGCAGTGGTGCAATCGTAACTCACTGTAGCCTCAAACTCCTGGGTTCAAATGATCCTCCCACCTCAGCCTCCCGAGTAGCTAGGACCACAGTGCCTTGCTAATTTTTCTATTTTTTTTTTATTGCATTTTAGGTTTTGGGGTACATGTGCAGAACATGCAAGACAGTTGCATAGGTACACACATGGCAGTGTGTTTTGCTTCCTTTCTCCCCTTGACCCACATTTGGCATTTCTCCCCAGGCTATCCCTCCCCAGCTCCCCCTCCCACTGGCCCTCCCCTTTTCCCCCCAATAGACCCCAGTGTTTAGTACTCCCCTCCCTAATTTTTCTATTTTTTGTAGAGACAGGGTCTCGCCACGTTGCCCAGGCTAGTCTCGAGCTCCAGGACTCAAGTGATCTTCTTGCCTCTACCTCACAGAGTGCTGGGATTACAGACATGAGCCACGGAGCCTGGCCTAGAATCTTAAATCGAGCCTGGGAGAACTTTGGAATGAAAACTACCAAAGCAGTGCCCATCCCCGTGGACTGGGACTTTCCTTTAGAAAGTGCCAGATAGGAACTATTTCAAGAAAACTCGAGGAAATTATCTAGGAACATGTATGCTAAGAGAGAAAACAAAGTTCCCACATATTTTTATTGATGAAATTCAAAATATAATAATAACCGAGTACAACTTGGGGTTCACAGTTGGTTTTTGCTATTATCTGTTCCACTGCAAACACATGGCTGTAAAAGTTATTCTCAGGCTGAGCATGAGGGCTTATGCCTGTAGTCCCAGCTACTTGGGAGGCTGAGGTAGGAGGATCACTTGTGCCTGGGAGGTTGAGTCTGCGGTAAACTGTGATTGCTCCACTATATTCCAGGCTGGGTGATGGAGGGAGACCCCATCTCAAAACAAACAAACAAACAAAAAAAAACCCGTCCCTAACTCTCAGATGACATAGGCTGGGTCTGGCCCTCAGGTTACAATTTGCCACTCCCTGCCTTAGAACTTGAAGAATCTCTCCGAGTCTTCAGATGCCCTGGCCGTGAGGATGTTCTGTTTGGTTTTGTTTTAATTATAGCAAAACACATGTCTTAACCTTTTTTTTTTTTTTTTTGAGACAAGATCTTGCTTCATTGCCCAGGCTGGAGCACAGTGACATGAGCTCAGCTCACTGTAACCTCCGCCTATCAGGCTTAAGCAATCCTCCCACCTCAGCCTCCCGAGTAGCTGGGACTATGAGCATGCACCATCGTGCCTGGCTAATTTTTGTATATTTTGTAGAGACGGGATTTTGCCATGTTTCCCAGTAGGTCTTGAACTGGACTAAAGCAATTCTCCTGCCTCAGCCTCCTAAAGTGCTGGGATGGGAGGCATGAACCACTGTGCCTGGCCCCCATCTTAGCCATTTTTCTGTGTGCAGTTCACTGATTAAAAGTATTAATAACGTGAAGCTATCACCGCCATTCATCTCCAGAATTGTTAATCTTCCTGAAGTGAAACTGTCTTCAATAAACACTCACTTCCTGTACGACTCGGTTTTCATGCTGCTGTAAAGAAATACCCCAGACCAGGTAATTTATAAAGGAAAGAGGTTTCATTGACTCACAGTCCCACGTGGCTGGGAAGAACTCAGGAAACTTGCAATCATGGTGGAAGGGAAAGATGCGTGTCTTCTGTGGCAGCAGGTGAGAGAGAGGGAGCAAGAGCACGGAATACTGCCTTATAAAACCATTGGATGGTCAGGTGTGGTGGCTCACGCCTATAATCCCAGCACTTTGGGGGACTGAGGCATGCAGATCACTTGAGGTCAGGAGTTTGACACCAGCCTGACCAACATGACGAAACCCCATCTTGAGCAAAAATAGAAAAATTAGTCGGGTGTGGTAGTACATGCCTGTAGTCCCAGCTACTCGGGAAGCTGAGGTGGGAAAACTGCTTGGACATGGGAAGCAGAGGTTGCAGTGAGCTGAGATCACACCACTGCACTGTAGCCTGGGTGACACAGTGAGATTCTGTCTCCAAAAAAACCCCCAAACCATCAGATCTCGTGAAGACTCACTATCACGAGAATAGAATGGGGGAACCCATGCCCATGATCCAATCGCCTCCCATCTGGTCCCTCCCTCAACACATAGGGATTATGGGGATTACAATTCAAGATGAGATTTGGGTGGGGACACAGAGCCTAACCACGACACCCCCATTCTCCCTTCACCCCAGTCCCTGACAAGCACCATGCTATTTTCTGTCTCCATAAGTTTGACCACTTTAAAAGTATTTCATGTAAGTGGTATTTTACAATATTTGTCCTTCATTCTCTGACTTCTCTTACTGAGCAGAATGTCCTTAAGTTTCATCCACATTGTAGCATATGAAGGAATTTCCTTCCTTTTTTTTTAATGCTACGAAGTCTTGCTCTGTCACCCAGTGGTATGATCTCGGCTCACTGCAACCTCCACCTCCTGGGTTCAAGCAATTGTCCTGCCTCAGCCTCTAGAGTAGCTGGGATTACATATGCCACCATGCCCAGCTAAGTTCTGTATTTTTTTAGTAGAGATAGGGTTTCGCTATGTTAGCCAGGCTGGTCTTGAACTCCAGACCTCACATGATCTGTCCACCTTGGCCTCCCAAAGTGCTGAGATTACAGGCATGAGCTACCATGCCCGGCTAAGAATTTCCTTCCTTTTTAGGGCTGAATAATATTACATTGTGTGAATATGTCACAGTTTGTTTATCCATTCATCTGTCTGTGGACATTTGTGTTGTTTCTGCCTTTTGGCTATTGTGAACTAGCCAGATCACATGGCAATTTTGTGTTTAATTTTTTGAGGAACCACAACAGCTGTACCATTTTACAGTCAAACTATGGGAGAGAACAAATGAAATCTTTTTCTCTACCCTTTTATATTCAGTGATAGGAGCCTGTGAATGAAACTAACAAAAGACAGCTCAACAGGAGAAAGGGCTCACACATTTTAATTTTATGTGCACAGAAGCTTCACAGAAGATAAGTGAAAACTCAAAGGAGTGCTTAGACCTGGGACCTTACATACCATTTTAACAAAGAGCAATAAATTGTGAGGTGAATTCACAAAGGAAGGGGGAGTATTAAAGATGCTTAATTCTCAGTATCTAATGTGCTTCCCCATGGACGGGAATAGCATGTTTAAAAGGATGACCAGTGGCCTGTGATTCCTATGCAGAGCTTCTAATCCTGGCTCTGCAAAGCATCCTTGAACTGTCGGCTTCTCTTTATCCTCATGACCATCAGCCCAGGGCCAATCCTGCCGCCTCTCCTCTAGACCTTGCCAAAGCATCCTTCAGGCTTTGGGTTCATTCTTACCCTTTGGTTTATTTTCCATTCAGCACCGAGAAGAATCTTTTGAAAGCCCAAATCAGCTGGGCACAGTACCTCACATCTGTATTCTCAGCACTTTGGGAGGCTGAGGTGGGTGGATCACTTGATGCCATGAGTTTGAGACCAGCCTGGTCAACATTGTGAAACCCCATCTCTACAAAGATTAGCCAGGTGTGGTAACATGTACCAGTAATCCCAGCTACTCAAGGAGCTGAGGCAGGAGAATTGCTTGAACCTGGCAGGCAGAACTTGCAGTCAGCCAGGATCATGTCACTGCACTCCAGCCTTGGTGACAGAGCAAGACTCTATCTTAAAAAACAAACAAACAAAAAACAAAACAAAACAAATCTCACTAAGTATCTCTTTGTTGAACCTTCTAGATGGTTCTCCATTACCTTGGGGTAACGACCTTTCCGGTACTGTAGCTACAAGGCTGTGTGACTCGTTCTCCTGGGAGATGTTTGTCTCCATCCTTACTGTCCCAGGCAGATAATGTTTGTCTCAGCCTTTAAGAGAGGGACACAAGGCTGAGTGCGGTGGCTCACATGTGTAATCCCAGCACTTTGGGAGGCCCAGACAGGAGGATTGCTAGGGTGCAGGAGTTCAAGACCAGCCTGGGCAACATGAGACCTTATCTCTACAAAAAAATTAATTAAAAATAGATAAATAGATGGCTAGGTACAGCGGCTCAAGCCTGTAATCCCAACACTTTGGGAAGCTAAGGTAGGCAGATTGCTTGAGGCCAGTTTGAGACCAGCCTGGGCGACGTAGCAAAACCCCATCTCTACTTTATACAAAAATTAGCCAGGTGTGGTGGCACATGTCTGTATTCCCAGCTTCTTGAGAGGCTGAGGAACAAGAGTTGCTTGAACCTGGGAGGCAGATGTTGCCGTGAGCCGAGATCGCGCTCCAACCTGAGTGACAGAGCAAGACTCTGTCTCAAAACACACAAAAAATTAAAAAATAGGAAATGGAATAGCATACCTAACAACTGGAATTTAAGGCAACTGAAGAGAACGGTAATGTGAGAGGCACTCGCCAGAGCTGTAAACCTTGATGGAGCAACTTCTTATGAAAACAACCTTGGGCACGACTTCCCACTTTAAGAAAGACTTAAAAGCCCAGATCTCAGCAAGTTCTCTGCAAAGCCCCTTGATTGACAACCTCTGGCTCCCCTCCCCCCCCCCCCCCCCCCCCCCCCCCGCCGCACAAGGAGGAAGTGTAGGAACAAATGTCATCACCAGAGGGCGCAGCTGGACATCCATGTGCTCTCTGTACACCCAAGCAAGCTGGGAAATGGAGACCCTTCAACAACCTCAATGATGAAATGATCCAAAGCGATCATGAGTCTTTTTTTTTTTTTTTTTTTTTTTTTTTTAGTCTAGCTCTGTCGCCCAGGCTAAAGTACAGTGGCGCGATCTCGGCTCACGGCAACCTCCGCCTCCTGGGTTCCAGCGATTCTCCTGCTTCTGCCTCCCGAGTACCTGGGATCACAGGCCTGGGCCACTACACGGGCTAATTTTTCTTAATAGCGTATTTTTTTAAGAACAGTTTTAGGTTCACGACAAAACTGAATGGCAGGTACAAAGATTTCCAATATATTCCTCCTCTGATCCTGTTTTTATTGAAAAGGTTGAGTCTAGGCACAGTGGCTCACACCTATAATTCCAGACTCTGAGGGTTCGAGGAAGGAGGATAGCTTGAGCCAGGAGTTTGAGACCAGCCCGGGCAACATAACGAGACCCCGTCTCTACAAAAAATAAAAAATTAGCCAGTCATGGTGATGTGCACCTGCAGTCCCAGCTACCTGAGTGGTGACTTCTGTGGCCAGAAGATCGCTTGAGCCCAGGAGTTTGAGGCTGCAGTGAGCTGTGATCATGCCACTGCACTACAGCCCGGGTGGCAGAGCGAGACTGTGTCTCTAAAAAAATAGCCAGGCACGGTGGCTCTTGCCTGTAATCCCAACACTTTGGGAGGCTGAGGTGGGTGGATCACTTGAGGCCAGGAGTTCAAGACCAGCCCGGCCGACATGGTGAAATCCCGTCTTCACTAAAAACACAAAAAATTAGCCAGGCGTGGGGTTGGGTGACTGTAGTCCCAGCTATTTGGGTGGCTGAGGTAGGAGAATCGCCTGAACCTGCGAGGCAGACGTTGCAGAGCTGATACCACGCCATTGTATTCCAGCCTGAGCAACAGGGTGAAACTCCATCTCAAAAGTAAATAAATAAATAAATCTGGGCGTGGTGGTGCATGCCAGTAGTTCCGACTATTTGGGAGGCTGAGATGGGGGGATTGCTTGAGGCCAGAAGTTCGAGGCTGCAGTGAGCTTTGATCGTGTGCCACTGCACTGCAGCCGAGACAACAGAGTGTGATACTGTCTCAGAAAAAAGAGGAAGGAAGACAGGAAGGGAGGGAGGGAGGAAGGAAAGGGGAGCATTCTAGGCAATTTGGGCAAAGGCTGGAGGCTAGAAGCAGCTGGGTACATTTGAAGTAAGGGTGAGTGAATCTGGAGAGCAGAGAAGGAGGCAGGAGAGGCCAGCAGAGGCCGTAGCTGAGGTGTTGTGTCTTCTCTTTCGTCCCGCAGCTCCTGCAGGGAGTGGAGGCTCAATTTGCAGGAAAGGTACAGGGGTCTGAATCCAGGCAACTTAATCCACATCCTTTTGTTGCAGAGAGGAGCCTCCTGTACACAGAACTGCTGGCCAGGCTCCATTTCTTCGCCACCTCACATCCAGCACTGGTGGGACAGCTATGCCAACAGGCCCAGAGCTGGTTTCGGCTCTGTGCACACCCTGTGCTGGTGCCCCTCGGAGGATTCCTCCAGCCCCCAGGAGGACCCCTCCGGGCAACCCTCAGCGGTTGTCACAAAGGTGAGTCTCCCCAGCATAGCAAAAATCCCAGCAGGCACCTGCTTGCGTGGGGGCAGTGGATGCTGGTGTTTGAGATTGTCCTCTGAAACTCCCCTGTGCTAGTCTGGAGGCCCCAAGGGTGCCATCAGAGCCTGCCCTGCTATCTCATGCTCAATTGCCTCTCTCTGCCCCCCAGGGACTGTAGATGACTCATATAAATTCTGCTAATGAGCTTGAAGCTAGGGGATGCCTCCAAGCTTCCCATCTCCAAGGGATTAGTGGCCATCTGACAGTTTGAGCTAGTTACAAGCTCATGCTAGTAAGTCTGGAAGCCAGGAACTAATGCCTGACAGGCCCCTGAGAGGCTGATGGAACTGAACTCAGCCCTTGGGATCCCAGAATGTAAGAGAGAGACAAGGATTTAGGTTTTGCCATCCATTTGTCATTCATTTTTTTCTTCCATTCATTCATCCATCCACCCATTCATTCACCTTCCTACTCTTCCATCCAATTACCCTCCCATCCATTCATCCATCTATCTCCCATTCTTCCATTCATCTATCCATCCATCCATCTATAAGCACCCGCCCACCCACCCCTCTGTTCATCCATCCATCTATATATCCATCCATTCATTCACCTTTCTACTCTTCATCCAATTACCCTCCCATCCATTCATCCATCTATCTTCCATTCTTCCATTCATCTATCCATCCATCCATCTATACAGCACCCGCCCACCCACCCCTCTGTTCATCCGTCCATCTATATATCCATCCATTCATTCACCTTTCTACTCTTCCATCCAATTACCCTTCCATCCATTCATCCATCTATCTACACCACCCTTCCATCATTTATTCCTACATCCACTGCCCTCCTAGCCCTCCCACCCATCCATTCATCCATCAATCTTCTCTGCCACCCTTCTATCCATCTACTGCCCACCCATCTATCCATCCATTCACCCATCCACCCACCCATTCATACATCATGTGTCCATTCATCCAATCATTTACCCACCCTTCTATTTATCCATCCATTCATCAAACCACCTTCCTACCCATCCATCCATGCATCCATCCATCCACCCATTCATCTATCTATCCACCTTCCCACCCATCCATCTACCCACCCTGCCACACTTCCGTCTGTCTATCCCCCATCTATTAATCCATCTACCCTCCCACCCTTTTATCCTTTGACTGTCCCACTGTTCCATCCACCTAATCATCCACCCACCTGTCCATCTCTCTATCTACCCTGCCACCATTTCATTTATCTACCCCCATTCATCCATCCATCCATTATTCATCCATTCACCCAATCATTTACCTACGCTTTCAGTAATCTATCCATTTATCAAACTACCTTCCCATCCTTTTATCCATCCATCCACCTACCCACCTTTCCTTCCATTCATCCACTCACCCATCCATTCGTCCATTCATCCATTCATTTATCCTTCAACCCTTTCTTCCTTCCTTCCTCTCATCTATCTACCCATCAGTCATCCACACTTCTATTAGTTATTTATCCTTCTACCCATATATCCATCCATCCACCCCAATCCACTTACCCTTCCATTTTTTATCTGATCATCTTCCATTCACTCTTAACCCTCCACCCATCCACACACTCTGCCATTCATCGACTTGCTCACTTCAATTTCATCTAGAAATTAATTCCTCCATCTACCCATCTATCTGCCCCATCCATTCACCCACCCGCTCGTCCAACTAGCTACCTGTCTGCCCACTCACCCACTTTCATTCACCCATCTATTTATCTGCTCACCCACAATCTCTCATGATTGTGAGACCGCTGAATTCATTGGGCTTCAAATGTCAGAGCTCTCACTGAAAGCTACACTCCCCAGGCAAATTATCTTCAAAATAGAAATGCTAAGAGACACTAAGTACAATGCATGGGGGAGTCAATTTAGGAGCAGCCACCAGAATGCTGTGTTGAGAAGGATTCTGAGACTGAAGCTAGCTCAGTCGGAAAGTGTATGTATTTATTAGGATATAGGTTCAGATATCATTAAAAAAAAAGACAAAATGCTAGTGGCTTAAATAAAATAGGAGTTTAATTCTGTCTTATGAAATAGTTCAAGCAAAAGAAGAGGTATAAAGGAGTCCCTAGGGTGTCTGGGACCCATATACCTTCAATCTGGCTGCTCTGCCATTTTCAGTGTAAGGGTGTCCTCATTGGCCCAATATGGCTGCTCCAGCTCCTACTATCCAGATGGCATTCCAGCCAGTAGGGAAAAGGAGAAGCACATGGCAGGCCTCCTCATTTTAAGGGCATGACCTACAGGCAGAACTAAATATTTCCACTCCTGTCTCATTTTTTTTTTTTTTGAGATGGAGTTTTGCTCTTGTCACCCAGGCTGGAGTGCAGTGGCATGATCTTAGCTCACTGCAACCTCTGCCTCACAGGTACAAGCCACTCTCCTGCCTCAACCTCCAGAGTAGCTGGGATTACAGGCTTGTGTCACCATGCCTGGCTAATTTTTATATTTTTAGCAGAGATGGGTTTCACCATGTTGGCCAAGCTAGTCTTGAACTTCTGACCTCAGGTGATCCGCCCACCTTAGCCTCCCAAAGTGCTGGGATTACAGGGGTGAGCCACTGGGCTCAACCAGAGAAATATGGTCTTTGTGTGGATGACCCTGTACTTAGCTAAAACCTCTGAGGTTTTGGGTTTTATTACTAAAGGTGAGATGACAGAATGGCTGTGGGGGTGCAAATCACACATAGTGCTGTGATTGATTAGCGATGTCTGTCATGGCACGGGCATAGGAAGTTACAACTTAGAGTGAGGTTTTCATCATCTCTGGGGCAGGTAAATGTTCTGTGTTTCAGATCCTCTGTGCCCTGTTGTACATCCTCTAGTCCTGTTAAAGTTGAAAAAGGTCTTACCCATGTGGGTTTCAGTTTGTTCATTTTTAAAATGAAAAGTATGAGTTAATATTTCCAAGGTCACACAATGAGCGCACGACGAGAAAAAAAGAAAAAGAGGCTGAGCACAGTGATTCATGCCTGTAATCCCAGCACTTCAGGAGGCCAAGGCAAGAGGAGTTCTTGGACCCACATGTTCAAGACCAGCCTGGACAACATAGGGAGACCCTGTCTCTACAAAAAGTTTAAAAAAAAAGAAAAGCTGGGTATGGTGTCATGTGCCTACAGTCTCAGCTACTCAGGAGGTTAAGATGGGGGGATTGCTTGAGCCCAAGAGTTTGAGGCTGCAGTGAACTATGACTGAGCCAGTGTACTCCAGCTTGGGTGACAGAGTGAGACCCTATCTGGGAAAAAAAGGAAGGGAAAAGGAGAGGGGAGGAGAACGGAGGGAAAGGAGAGGTAAGAGGGAAGGGAATGGGAGGGAAGGAAAAGGAGAGGGAAGAAGGAAGGGAAGGGGAGGGAAGGAAAAGGAGAGGGACGAGGGAAGGGAAGGGGAGGGAAGAGGGAAGGGAAGGGGAGGGAAGGAGCGGGAAGAGGGAAGGGGAGGGAAGGAAAAGGGGAGAGAATAAGGAAGGGAAGGAGAAAGGGGAGGAAAGGGAAGAGGAGGGTAGGGAAAGGGAGGAAAGGGGAGGAGAAGAAAGAAAAAGAAAACAAATCCTATTTCCTGACTCTCTATCCCAATGAGGTAGAAACAAAATCCTGTATTCTCAGAGCTTGATTGGCTCTGATTCAACACCACCCCAACCATTTTATACATGGGAAAGAGGGACAGAGAAGGAAAAGGGCTTCCTTTCTTTGCTTCAGGACATTCAGAAAGTCCAGTTCCTTAATGCCTAGGCCTGTGTTTTCTCTAATGTATCTTGGCCGCTCTGCAGTGATGTTTTAATCAAACTCCACCAGGCAGAGAGCCTTGGGGTGTGTTTGCCCAATTCACTGGCAAACATATTTTTTTTTCTTTAGGACCTCAGCCCGTGTTTTTCTATGCTGGTTGAACTCAAAGAGATGTCAAAAACAGAATCCTCATTCTCAGCCAGTATAATTTCCTTCCACCCCTCCCTCCCTTCTTTCTTTCTTTCTCTCTCTCTCTCTCTCTCTTTCTTTCTTTCGTCTCCCTCTCTCACCCAGGTTGGAGTGCAGTGGTGTGTTCTTGGCTCCCTGCAACCTCCACCTCCCAGGTTCAAGTCATTCTCCTGCCTCGATCTCCTGAATAGCTGGGATTACAGGTGTGCTTCACCACGCCTGGCTAATTTTTTATATTTTTAGCAGAGACTGGGTTTCTCCATGTTGGACAAGCTGGTCTTGAACTCCTGACCTCCAGTGATCTGCCCATCTTCGCCTCGCAAAGTGTTGGGATTACAGGCGTGAGCGACTGTGCCCTGCCACAGCCACTGTAATTTCATTTCTGAGTTTTTTCAACTAAGACAGGGTTTCTCAGCTGTGGCACTGTTGGCTTCTGGGGCTGAATCTTTCTTCGGGGTGGAGTTGTCTCATGCATTGTTGGGTGTTGAGCAGCCTCCCCGCCCTCCACCCACCAGATGCCAGTAGTGTCCTTGAGCATCCTTGTCCCCAGTTGTGGCACCTCAGAATGTCTCCAGACACCAGATGTTCCCCTGGGTGAGCACTGCTGGACTATACAGACACTTATGAACACACTGTGACTCAGTCCCTTTTCCTACCTAAGAGCGGAGTGAATGTCACAGCCCAGAGTGTGAACCTTCACATCTGAGTCTGTGAATCTATAATCCTTGCTGTGTAGCTTTGGACAAGGAACTAAATCTGTCTGTGCCTCAGTTGTCTTATCTGAGAAGTGGGGGGCTCATTAGAGCACCCCATAGCTGAATATTTGGAAACAGGAACTGAGATCATTGCTGTTGCCTCTGGGTGGCTGCAGGTATCACCGCCATGGCGTGGGGTGAGGAGGAGAAGCTGTTGGTGATTGGTACCCAGGATGGCATCATGGCTGTGTGGGACATGGAAGAGCAGCATGTGATCCACATGCTAACTGGACACACAGGTGAGAGACTTGAGAAGTGGGGTTTGTGGTCAGTTTCCATAGTGAATAGTCAGTTCTCAGATCCCCTTCCCCACAGATTTACTTCTCTGTATTGAAACCCTGGCCTTTGTTCCTGCATCATTTAGCTATAGTTACATAGCAAACCATCCCCAAACACAGTCGTTTTAAACAAGCCATTTCTTTTCTTTTTTTTTTTTTTTAAGACGGGATCTCACTGTGTTGCCCAGGCTGGAGTGCAGTGGTGTATTCATAACTCACCGCAGCCTCAAACCCCTGGGCCCAACTGATCCTCCTGCCTCAGTCTCCTGAGTAGCTGGGACCTCAAGCACTATACCCAGCTAATTTTTAAATGTTTAAATGTTTTTAGAGACGAGGGTCTTGCTGTGTTGCCCAGGCTGGTCTCAAACTCTTGGGGTCAAGTGATCCTCCCTCCTTAGCCTACCAAGGAGCTGGGATTACAAATTTGAGCCACAAACAAGCCATTTCTTTAGCTCACTTCCTGTGCATTGGCAGTGCAGGCTGGGCTCAGTTGGCCGATTTTCTGTTCTCAGCTGGACTTGCTCATGTATCTGCAGTCAGTTAGTGGATCAGCTGGGTGCTAGCTGAATCTGAAACAACTCAGCTCTCCTCCATGTGGTCTCTCATAATTCGGCATCCCTCAGGTCTCTCATCCCCCGCAAAGGCAGGGTTTTGAGAAAACAAGTTGGCGCTCACAGGATCTCTTAAGCCTGGACTTGGAATTGGCACCCAGTCACATTCTCTTGACCAAAGGAGTTTACAAGAACAGTCCAGTAAGGAAATAGGCTAGACAGGCTTCCTTCTTTCCTTCTTTCTTTTCTTTTTTTCTTTCTTTCCTTCTTCCAACAGGGTCTTGCTTTGTTGCCCAGGCTGAAGTGCAGTGGTACAATCTCAGCTCACTGGAACCTCAGTCTCCTGGGCTCAAGCAATCCTCCCACCTCAGCCTCTTGAGTAGCTGGGACTACAGGCACACACCACCACACCTGGCTAATTTTTGTGTTTTTTATAGAGACACGGTCTCACTATGTTGCTCAGGCTGGTCTCAAGCTCCTGAGCTCAAGCAGTCCTTCTGCTTGTCCTCCCAAAGTGCTGGTGTTATAGCACCACACCCAGCCTAGGCTTCATTTTTTGATGGGAGGGGCTGCAAAGTAACATTTCCAAGGGTGTGGATCAGGAAGGGCAAAGAATTGTGGTCCTTTTTGCATTTGTCGACCTCAGATCCTAAGTAAGGTTGTTTTTTTTGACATAGTCCCTTAACAGATATGGCTTAGTTTTATAATCAATGGTTGAGTGCCCGCTGTGTACCAGACCCTGTCCTAGATGCTGGAGAGAGATAGTCCAAGGTCAGGACTAGGAAGGAAAACTATTCATTCTTGAAGACTAATGGAAGGGAAGGGAATGGAAGGGGAAGGGAGGAGAGGGGAGGAGATGGGAGGGGAGGGAAGGGAGAGCAAAGGCAGGCAGGGCAAGGGCAGACAGGGCAAAGGCAGGCAGGGCAAGGGCAGACAGGGCAAAGGCAGGCAGGGCAAGGGCAGACAGGGCAAAGGCAGGCAGGGCAAGAGCAGACAGGGCAAAGGCAGGCAGGGCAAGGGCAGACAGGGCAAAGGCAGGCAGGGCAAAGGCAGGCAGGGCAAGGGCAGGCAGGGCAAGGGTTCCCAAAGTACACTTCATAACTAGCTCCCCATTGCTCTTCTGCAGCTTGATGTACATAAGACCTCATTGGATAAGACCACAGTTGGCTGGGTGTGGTGGCTCATGTCTGTAATCCCAGGACGTTAGGAGGCTGACGCAGGCAGATTATTTCAGTTCAGGAGTTTGAGACCAACTTGGGCAACGTGGCGAAACTACATCTCTACAGAAAATGCAAAGATTAGCCAGGCATGGAGATACACACCTGTAGTACCAACTATTTGGGAGGCTGAGCCATGAGACAGACTCGCTTGAGCCCAGGAGGTTGGAGCTGCAGTGAGTTGTGACTGCACCACTGTACTCCAGCCTGCACAAGAGCAAGACCCTATCAAAAAAAAAAAAAGACTACGTTTATTTGTTAACCCAAGATCCCAAGATCCTTTTACTATTGTTTGAGGGCAAGGATTATGTTTTATTCAACGTACTCCATGCTTATTTGTTGAATAAATAGGTTAAAATATCCCATGTATTTAAACAAATTCATTTAGCAGAATCAAGCCATAGGAAATCAGCTTTGGAAAGATTCTCATCTAACCCTTTCATTTAATTAAGAAAACAGGTTGGCCATGGTGACTCACACCTGTAATCCCAGCACTTTGGGAGGCCGAGGCGGACGGATCACAAGGTCAGGAGTTTGAGACCAGCCTGATCAACATGGTGAAACCCCACCTCTACTAAAAATACAAAAATTAGCTGGGCGTGGTGATCTCAGCTGCTTGGGATGCTGAGGCAGGAGAATCACTTGAACCTGGGAGGTGGAGGTTGTAGTGAACTGAGATTGTGCCAGTGCACTCCAGCCTGGATGACAGGGTGAGACTCCATCTCAAAAAAAAAAAATTAGAAATATAGTTGGCCCTCTGTATCTGTGGGTTTTGCATCTGGGAATTCAACCGACTATGGAATTGAAAATATTTGGAAAAGCTGGATGCAGTGGTGTGTGTCTGTAGTCCCAGCTATTTGGAAGGCTGAGGCAGGAGGATGCCTTGAGCCCAGGAGTTCAGCCTGAGCAACAGAGTGAGATCCTGTCTTTTTTTTTTTTTTTAAGACTAAATCTCACTCTGTCACCAAGCTGGAGTACAGTGGCAGGATCTTGGCTCACTGCAGCCTCTGCCTCCTGGGTTCAAGCAATTCTCCTGCCTCAGCCTACCAAGTAGCTGGGACTGCAGGTGAGTGCCACCATGCCCAGCTAATTTTTGTATTTTTAGTAGAGACGGAGTTTCACCATGTTGACCAGGATGGTCTCGAACTCTTGACCTTATGATCCACCCGCCTTGGCCTCCCAAAGTGCTGGGATTACAGGAGTGAGCCACCACACCCGGCCTTTTGGTTGTTGTTGATTGTGGGTGTGTCCCTCCCTCCCTCCCTCCCTCCCTCCCTTCCTTCCTTCTTTCCTTCCTTCCTTTCTTCTTTCTTCCCTCCCTCCCTCCCTCCCTTCCTTCCTCCTTTCCTTCCTTCCCTCCTTCCCTCCTTCCTTCTTTTTCTTTGAAACAGGGTCTCACTCTGTTGTCCAGGCTGGAGTACACTGGTGTAATCATGGTTCACTGCAATCTTGATATCCCAGGCTCGAGCAATCCTCCCACCTCAGGCTCCTGAAGAGCTAGGACCACAGGTGCATGCCACCATGCCCAGCTAATTTTAAAAACATTTTTGGTAGAGACTGGGTCTCACTGTGTTTCCCAGGCTTCTGTTGAATTCCTGGCCTCAAGCCATCCTCCCACCTAAGTCTCCCAAAGTGCTGGGATTACAGGCATGAGCCATTGTACCTGTCTCTAAATAAATTTTAAGGCCAGGTGCCATGGCTCACGCCTGTAATCCAGCACTTTGGGAAACTGAGATAGGTGGATCACCTAAGGAGTTGAGACCAGCCTAGCCAACATGGTAAAACCACATCTCTACTAAGAATACAAAATTAGCTGGGCGCGGTGGTACGCACCTGTAGTCTCAGCTACTCAGGAGGCTGAGGCAGGAAAATCGCTTGAACCTGGAAGGCAGAGTTTGTGTGAGCTGAGATTGCATCACGGCACTCCAGCCTGGGCGACAGAGTGAGACTCTGTCTTAACAAAGAAAAGAAAAGGAGCAGTCACTGGGTGCCCCTTGGTGTATGACTCCCATGGGTATGAGATGTCCAGAACAGGCTAGTCCACAGAGACAGGAGGCAGATTAGTGGTTGCCAGGGGCTAGGGGAGGGGAGTGGGGAGTGACTGTGGATGGGGACAAGGTCTCCTTTTGCGGGGGGTTGCAAATATTCTGGAATGAGATAGAGTGATGTTTGCACAATACTGTGAATGTGCTAAATGCCACTGAATTTTTTTTTGAGTTTCGCTCTTGTTACCCAGGCTGGAGTGCAATGGCGCGATCTCGGCTCACCGCAATCTCCGCCTCCTGGGTTCAGGCAATTCTCCTGCCTGGGGCGGTGGCTCATGCCTGTTTTCCCAGCTATAAATAGTTGTTATTCTGTGTTTGGGGGATAATGACAGTAAACGTCTATGAATCTTTAGTCCAGATGCAATTATTTATTTTTTCCCAAATATATTCTTTTTTAAAAATGTTATTTATTTATTTTAAGAGATAGGGTCTTAAAATTAATTAATTGATTGATTAATTTATTTATTGAGATGGAGTCTCACTCTGTTGCCCAGGCTGGAGTGCAGTGCTGTGATCTCGGCTCACAGTAACCTCTGCCTCCTGGGTTCAAGCGATTCTCCTGCCTCAGCCTCCCGAGTAGCTAGGATTACAGGTGCCCGCCACCATGCCTGGCTAATTTTTGTATTTTTAATAGAGATGGGGTTTCATCATATTGGCCAGGCTGGTCTCGAACTCCTGACCTCAACTGATTCACCCAACTTGCCCTTCTAAAGTGCTGGGATTACAGGCATGAGCTACTGAACCAGGCTCTTTTTACTTTTTTTTTTTTTAGAGACAGGGTCTCGCTATGTTGCCCAGCTCATCTCGGACTCCTGGGCTCAAGTGATCCTCCCACCTCGGCCTCCCAAAGTGCTGGGATTACAGCTGTGAGCCACGTGGCCCAATCAGATCCTCATTCTCATTTTACTGTATTTTATTTCATTTACAATTTTCATGATTAATTTTACGGGGTCCATGTGCGTTTCATTACATGGGTATATTGAGTGATGCTGGCGTCTGGGTTATGAATGACCCCATCACCCAGGTAGTGAACATGGTACCCCAGAGGAACGTTTTGAGTCCTTGACCCGCTTCCTCCTTCCTCACTCCAGTAGTCTCCAGTGTCTGTCATTCCCATCTTTATGTTGCAGACACTTTTTTTCCTTTTCTTTTTCTTTTTTTTGAGACGGAGTCTCTGTTGCCCAGGCTGGAGTGTAGTGGCACATTCTCGGCTCACTGCAACCTCTGCCTCCCACGTTCAAGTGATTCTCCTGCCTCAGCCTCCCGAGTAGCTGGGATTACAGGTGCGCACCACCACCCCCAGCTAATTTTTGTATTTTTAGGCGAGATGGGGTTTCTCCGTGTTAGCCACACTGGTATTGATGATTTGCACTACTGAGCTCAGGCGAGCCACCCGCCTCGGCCTCCCGAAGTGCTGGGATTGCAGGTGTGAGCCACCCTGCCTAGCCTGGAGCCACTTTTATAAAGACGCGAATCCCATTCCCGAGGGCCCCACCCTCAGAACTTAATCACAGACCAATGAACTTTGTGTTGATTAGGAAGAATCTCCATTCGTCTGTTACCTGTTGCAGATATTTCCTCCATGTCTGTCAGGATGTGCCTTTCAACTATACTTAATCCTCCTGAAGTTTTCAATTTCTACATAATCCAGCTGATCTAATTTTCCCCATTATGCCTTCTAAATTGTATGTTTTGCTTAGAAAATAGCTCTCTAAGATTAGTATTTTTATTTATTCATTTATTTTGAGACATGATCTTGCTCTGTTGCTGAGGCTGGAGTGCAGTGGAGTGATCGTAGCTCACTCCAGCCTCAACCTCCTGGGCTCAAATGATCCTCCCACCTCAGCCTCCCAAGTAGCTGGGATCACAGGTGTGTGCCACCATACCTGGCTAATTATTTTTTTACGAGATTATTAAAATGATAAGAGAAGTCCTATAATTTTTCTACAAGTTTCCCCTTTTTTACTGGTTATTAATCTTAGACACTCCTAGACGTTGAATCTTTATAAAGTTCAGTTATCTGTTTAGTACGAATTCAGCATCTGGGGCAATAGACTGACTCCCAGCCAGTTGTGGCCGTCTGAATTTTGCATTGCCACATTTCATTATTTTCCATTTGGACAGGTTCTATCAATTTAACTAACAGAGAGAGGTTTTCAAAAAAAAAAGAAAAAGAAAAAGAAAGAAAGAGGCTCGGCATGGTGGCTCACACCTGTAATCCCAGCACTGTGAGAGGCTGAGGCAAGAGGATCACCTGAGGTCAGGAGTTTGAGACCAGCCTGGCCAATGTGGTGAAACCCCATCTCTACTAAAAATACAAAAATTAGCCAGGCACGGTGGCACATGCCTGTAATCCCAGCTACTTGGGAGGCTGAGGCATGAGAATCATTTAGAGGTTGCAGGGAGCTAAGATTGTACCAGTTAACTCCAGCCTTGGTGACAGAGTGAGACTCCATCTCAAAATAATAATAATAATAGTAAAAGTAACTGGCCAGGGCTGGTGGCTCATGCCTGTAATCCCAACAATTTGGGAGGCTGAGGTGGGCAGATCCCCTGAGGTCAGGAGTTCGAGACCAGTCTGGCCAACATGGTAAAACCCTGTCTCTACTAAAAATACAAAAAAATTGCCAGGCATAGTCATAGGCACCTGTGATCCCAGCTACTGGAGAGGCTGAGGCAGGAGGATTGCTTGAACCAGGGAGGTGGGGGTTGTAGTAAGCCAAGATCACGGCACTGCACTCCAGCCTAGGCAACAAGAGTGAAACTTCATCTCAAATAATAATAATAATCATCATAATAGTATTAAAAGGCTGGTCATAGTGTCTCATGCCAAGTGCTGGGATTACAGGCATGACACACCATGACCAGCCTTTTGGGAGGCTCAGGTGGGTAGATCACTTGATGCCAGGAGTTCAAGGCCAGCCTGGCCAACCTGGTAAAACCCTGTCTCCACTAAAAACACAAAAAATTGGCCAGATATGGCAGCAGGCACCTGCAATCCCAGCTACTTGGGGAGGCAGAGGTTGCAGTGAGCCAAGATCGCATCACTGCACTCCAGCCTGGGTGACAGACAGAGATTTCATCTCCAAAAAAAAAAAAAAAAGAGGACTACATAAATGTTTTACAGTAATTATCCTGGGTTACAAAGTTCAATAACAAGGGTGCGGCTGGACAGGCCGTTGCTGGGCAGATGGTCTTGCAGATTTATTTTTTCCGTAAGTTGACAATAGCCTTTGTGCAAAGTTGTGATATTTGCAGTCTTCTGTTATCAGGCATACAAGTGTGAGAACGCTTTCTTTTTATTTGAGACGGAGTTCCACTCTTTGTTACCCAGGCTGGAGTGCAATGGCGCGATCTCGGCTCACCGCAACCTCTGCCTCCTGGGTTCAGGCAATTCTCCTCCCTCAGCCTCCTGAGTAGCTGGGATTACAGGCACGCGCCACCATGCCCAGCTAATTTTTTGTATTTTTAGTAGAGACGGGGTTTCACCATGTTGACCAGGATGGTCTCGATCTCTTGACCTCGTGATCCACCCGCCTCGGCCTCCCAAAGTGCTGGGATTACAGGCTTGAGCCACCACGCCCGACCGAGAACTCTTTCTTCATAGCCTTCCTTCTTAGCCTCTGTTTGTCAGAGGCTTCTTAACATTAGTGACTCCATTTTTATTCTGATAACTTTCACAATTCAATTCCATCCATCTTTTCGTTGGTAAACCAGGGTATTTCCAAGCTGGTTTGGACAAGCATTTTGATGGTTGCAAGGTCAAAGTGTTCCCAGCTAACATACTCTCCCCTACCCTGGCCTGCCGCAGGAGAGGTGAGGTGCGTGAAAGTATTTGCCAAAGGGACCCTCGCCATCTCTGCTTCAAAGGATTACACACTGCGCTTGTGGAACTTACTCTCTGGCCGGGAGAAATTTACCATTTGGGATGGAAGCTCAAAAAATCTCACTGGACCTCAGACCTGGAGCCTTCATGTGAATGAAGCACACAAAGTTGTATATTCGGCATCTGGCTCAAAGGTAACAACTACCTGCCCTGTTTGTAAAGGACAGCTGAGACCAGAACATTCAAAGACAGAAGAGGCCATTTCTATAAGGAGGAGCTCCCTGCTACAGTGGTGGGGTAGGGTGTAAACAGTGTACACAACCACTTGAGAGGGTGCTATAAGAGGTTTCAGACTTGCCGGGCACAGTGGCTCATGCCTGTAATCCTAGCACACTTGGAGGCCAAGGTGGGCGGATCACCTGAGGTCAAGAGTTCAAGAACAGCCTGACTAGCACAGTGAAACCCCCATCTCTGCTACAAATACAAAATTAGCTGGGGGTGAACCCAGGAGGCAGAGGTTGCAGTGAGCCAACATTGTGCCATTGCACTGCAGCCTGGGCGACAAGAGTGAAACTCCACCTCAAAAAAATAAAAATAAAAAGAGGTTTCAGACTTCACAGTTGGATTAGATAATCCTGATAGTTCTTTCTGACCCCAAGATTTGAAACCTTTCATCTTTTTTGAATATCAGCGTCTTAGGGCTATAAATTTCCCTCAAAGTACTGCTCTACCTGCATCATGTGCATTTTGGCATGTATTTTCGGTTACATACATTTTTAAATACTTTCAGACTTCACTTTTGATTTTTTTCTTTGATACATGGGCTACTTAAAACTGTGCTATTCGTTTCCAGATATTTGAAGAATTTCTAGATAGGGTCCTGTTTTTTATTTTTTTTCTAATTAAATTCGATTTGTATGAGGTAAAACCTTTCAAATTCATTGAGACTTGTTTTATAGTCTCGCTCTCTTTTCTGTCTCTCTCTCTCACACTATTTTTTTCTTCTTTTTTTTTTCTTCACATTCATTCTTAAAGTTATACCTGATTTTTTTTTGAGATAGAGTTTTGCTCTATCACCCAGGCTGGAATACAGTGGCGCTACCTCAGCTCACTGCAACCTTCACCTCCCAGGTTCAAGCAATTCTCCTGCCTCAGCCTCCTGAATAGCTGAGACTACAGGTGCCCGCCACCATGCCCAGCTAATTTTTGTATTTTTAGTAGAGACAGCATTTTACCATGTTGGCCAGGCTGGTCTCAAACTCCTGACCTCAGGTGAACCACCTGTCCCAGCCTCCCAAAGTGTTGGGATTACAGGCCTGAGCCACCATGCCCAGCCTGTTGTATAGTCTCTCTGAATGTTCCGTGGGCTTCTGAAATCAATGTCTGTTCCACTGTGTTATTCCATTATATCGATCATAACCCTATGATTTCATAACTTTATACATGGAGACACCAATAGCATTGTGGGTAATAGCTTAGTAACTTAATGCCAGGAGGAAAAAAAAATCTTTATTTAACTCCCAGTTGAGTTTCTTGGGAACTGAGTGACCGTGGTCATGTCATTCACCATTCTGAGTCTCATTGCTTTCTCTTTGTCATAAGATCATGAGACATATCCTGGCATAGTGCCTAGCACACGGTAAGCACCAAATAATTGATATCCATCCATTATGATGTTACATGAGTAACTCGTGGTTGTTGACAGTAACATTATAAATCGTGCCACCCAAAACAGGAGTTGCCAACCAGATGTGGCTATTAAACTCTTGAAATTTGGGGGTTGGGGAGGGGTGAGGGGAGGGAGAGCATTAGGACAAGTACCTCATGCACGTGGGCCTTAAAACCTAGATGACAGGCCAGGCGTGGTGGCTCATGCCTGTAATCCCAGCACTTTGGGAGCTGAGGCAGGTGGATCACCTGAGGTCAGGAGTTTGAGACCAGCTTGACTACCATGCCCGGCTAATTCTCCACTAAACATACAGAATTAGCCGGACATGGTGGCACATGCCTGTAATCCTAGCTATTTGGAAGGCTAAGGCAGAAGAATCGCTTGAACTCGGGAGGCGGAGGTTGCAGTGAGCCGAGACTGTGCCACTGCACTCCAGCCTAGGCAACAAGAGTGAAACTCCATCTCAAAAAAACAAACAAACAAAAAAACCTAGATGAAGGGTTGATAGTTGCAGCAAACCACGATTGTGCCACTGCACTCCAGCCTGGGCAACAAGAGTGAAACTCCATCTCAAACAAACAAACAAACAAACAAACCCAGATGAAGGGTTGATAGTCGCAGCAAACCATGACTGTGCCACTGCACTCCAGCCTGGGTGAAAAAGAGGAGCCCTGTCTCCAAAAGAAAAGAAAATGTATAAAGCACACAAGAGCACGGATCTTGCCTTTGACTCTGGGAAACTCGCAGTCTAGGTCTCCTGCCAAGATGTCACTTCCTCTTTATTATTCTATTAGATCAATGCTTGGAATCTGGAAACTGCAGAGCTGGTTTTCCATATCCTGGGAGATGCCTCTGATCCTTGGATGTGCATGGCTGTGCTGGACTCCCAGGCCACGCTGCTGATGGTGTCCAGGGTTGGTGTGGTCAGTCTGTGGAACTCAGCCACGGGAAAACTTCAGGGGAAGCAACACATGTCCAGCATCAAAGAGGAAACACCCACCTGTGCCGTCTCAGTCCAGAAGCAAGGGAAGCTTGTTACTGGGTTTAGCAATGGCTCCATCTCTTTGGTAAGCATCTTGACTGACCATAATGTGAAAATTAACTCAGCTTGAAAGTGCTCAGATGTGCTAGAGATTGGGAAAAATAATAATCTTGCCTTGTATCTTTTTTTTTTTTTTCTTTTTTGAGACAGAGTTTCACTCTTGGTGCCCAGGCTGGAATGCAATGATGTGATCTCAGTGCAACCTCCACCTCCTGGGTTCAAGTGATTCTCCTGCCTCAGCCTCCACCTCCTGGGTTCAAGTGATTCTCCTGCCTCAGCCTCCAGAGTAGCTGGGATTACAGACACCCACCACCACGCCCAGATAATTTTTTTGTACTTTTAGTAGACACGGTGTTTCACCATGTTGGCCAGGCTGGTCTCGAACTGCAGTCCTCTGGTGATACACCCACCTAGGCCTCCCAGAGAGCTGGGATTATAGGCGTGAGCTACTGTGCCTGGTCCTATCTTTTTAATAAATGGCACTTAGTTGCTGCCGCCGCCGCCGCCGCCGCCGCCTCCTCCTCCTCCTCCTCCTCCTCTTCCTCCTTTCTTCCTCTCCTTTTTCTTCTTTTTTTTTTTGAGACAGGGTCTCACTCTGTTGCCCAGGCTGGAGTGCAGTGATGAGATTACAGCTCTCTGCAGCCTCCTGGACTCAAGTGATCCTCCTGCCTCAGCCTCACCGGCGTAAGCGATTACTCAGGCTAATTTTTTCATCTGTAGAGACAAGGTTTCCCTATATTGTCCAGGCTAGTCTCAAACTCCTGGGCTCAAGCGATCCAGAGCGCTGGGATTACAGGCATGATGCCCAGACAGCTTCTTTATTATTATTATCAATTATTTTTAGAGACAGGCTCTTGCTCTGTTGCCCAGGTTGGAGTACAGCAGTGTGATCATAGCTCCCTGGAATCTTCAACTCCTGGGCTCAACAGACCCTCTGGCTTCAGCCTCCCAAGTAGCTAGGAGGATTACAGGGTGCACCACCACACTCGGCTAAGTTTTAAAAAGCGTTTCATAGACACAGGCTCTTACTATGTTAACTCTGTTACCCAGGCTGCTCTCAGGCTCCTGGCCTCAAACCGTTCTCCTGTTTCAGCCTCCCAAAGTATTGGGATTACAGGCGTGAGCCACCATGCCCAGCCCCAGCACTTGGATTGGCAGTTCAGCACAGTTCAGGAAACATCCATTGGCATCTCTTGGGGACCGACCGATGTGGGCAACTGATGAAGCTCAGTCCTTCAGGGGAGCTCTAAGACATGATATGAGGCCTGGCACGGTGGCTCACACCTGTAATCCCAGCACTTTGGGAGGCTGGGGCGGGTGGATCACGAGGTCAGGAGTTTGAGGCCAGCCTGACCAACATGGTGAAACCGTGTCTCTACTAAAAACACAAAAATTAGCTGGGTGTGGTGGTGGGCACCTGTAATCCCAGGTACTTGGGAGGCTGAGGTGGGAGAATCACTTGAATCCAGGAGGCAGAAGTTGTAGTGAGCCAAGATTGAGCCACTGCATTTCAGCCTGGGCAACAAGAGTGATGCTCCATCTCAAAAAATAAAAACAAAAATTAGCCTGGTGTGGTGTCATGTGCCTGTGATCCCAGCTACTCGGGAGGCTGAGGCAGGAGAACTGCTTGAATCTGGGAGGCAGAGGTTGCAGTGAGCCGAGATCACGCCACTGTACTCCAGCCTGGGCAACAGAGTAAAACAAACAAAAACATATGTACCAGGCATCCTGGTAAGGGGAAAAAAAGCTGCTAGGAGCTGTTTGCAGTAAGAAGCCTCAGGAATGGAGGAGAACGTGGAGGGCATATGGTGGGAGTGCTAACAGCAAATTATGTAAGGAAATGTAATGGAGAAGCTTTGGCACCGTGCTAGGCACTGGATGGGCTATAGAAACATAAGACCCCCTGCTGGGCGTGGTGGCTCATGCCTGTAATCCCAGCACTTTGGGAAGCTGAGGCAGGCGGATCACCTGAGGTCGGGAGTTCAAAACCAGCCTGACCAACATGGAGAAACCTTGTCTCTACTAAAAATACAAAAATTAGCTGGGCGTGGCGCACACCTGCAATCCCAGCTACTCGGGAGGCTGAGGCAGGAGAATTGCCTGAACCCAGGAGGTGGAGGTTTCGGTGAGCTGAGATCATGCCATTGCACTCCAGCCCGGGCAACAAGAGCTAAACTCCATCTCAAGAAAAAAAGGAATAGAGGTGATATAGGAACATGCCAGATATTAGGGAAAAGGGAGGGAGTGTGGAGACGATCAGAGAGGGTCTAGTACACTCTGCTGAGGAGGAATGTGGCCACTAAAGAATCATGGGGTCTGGGCGCAGTGGCTCACACCTGTAATCCCAGCACTTTGGGAGGCCAAGGTGGGAGGATCACTTGAGCCCAGGAGTTTGAGGCCAGTCTGGGCAACATAGCAGGACCTCATCTCTACCAAAAATACAAAACTCATCTGGGCAAGGTGGCACACACCTGTGGTCCCAGCTACTTGGGAGGCTGAGGCGGGAGAATTGCTTAAGTCCAGGAGGTTGAGGCTGCAGTGAGCTATGATGGCACCCCTGCACTCCAGCCTGAGTGACAGAAGACCCTGTCTCAAATTTAAAAAAAAGAAACGGAAGACCACCTCCCAACCCTACCATCAAGGAACTCAACACAGGGAGGGAGCTGGGTTCATCAGTAACTTATGGCACTAGAGGAACAGAGTCTGCTTTCAGTAGAGGCAGAAGCAGTACAGTCTTGGTTGGGTGATCAAATGCTTCTGAAAAGAGTAATCTGGGAAGCCTCCCCAGAGGAGGCAGGCTTGGAACAAGAACGACGTGAAAATGAAAAAAAGGGCTGGGCATGGTGGTTCACGCCTGTAATTCCAGCACTTTGGGAGGCCAAGGCTGGTGGATCATGAGGTCGGGAGTTCAAGACCAGCCTGACCAACATGGTGAAACCCCATGTACTAAAAATACAAAAATTAGCTGGGCATGGTGGTGCACTCCTGTAATCTCAGCTACTTGAGAGGCTGAGGCAGGAGAATCACTTAAACCCGGGAGGTGGAGGTTGCAGTGAGCTGAGGTCATGCCACTGCACTCCTGCCTGGGTGACAGAGCAAGACTCCATCTCCAAAAAAAAAAAAACAACAACTCCAAGCTTCTAACCCTTAACCCATGGAAGTGCCTGACAGGCATCCTTGGTTCTGCACAGGTGTCCTCCGAAGGGGACAGATTGCTGGAGAAGCTTCCAGATGCTGTGAGGTTCCTGGTGGTCTCTGAAGATGAGTCTCTCCTCGCCGCAGGTAGCGTTTAGCTCTCGTTTGGAGTAGTGAGGAAGCCAATCAGGATGGGGTTGGAGAAGGGGGTGGGCTTGGGAACAGAGAGGGCTCCTAGGGCCTCTGCTGACCAGAGGTCAGTAAACTTTTTCTGCCAAACGGCCTCATAGTAAACATTTTTTGCAGTCTAGACAAGACATTCTCAGTTGCAAAGACTCAGCTCTGCAGTTGTGGCACAAAAACTAGCATAGACGCTTTTTTTTCCTATTCTTTCTCTTTCTCTTCCTTTTTTTTTCTTTTTTTGATACGGAGTTTTCACTCTTGTTGCTCAGGCTGGAATGCAATGGTACCATCTTGGCTCACTGCAACCTCTGCCTCCTGGGTTCAAGCGATTCTCCTGCCTCAGCCTCTGGAGTAGCTGGGACTACAGGCGTGTGCCACACCACACCTAGCTAATTTTGTATTTTTAGTAGAGATGGGGTTTCACCATGTTGGTCAGGCTGGTCTTGAACTCCTGACCTCAGGTGATTCACCCACCTCAGCTTCCTTGGGATTACAGGCATGAGCCACTGCACCCAGCCTTTTTGGTTTTTGAGATAGGGTATTGCTGTGTCACCCAGGCTGGAGTGCAGTGGCTCAATCATAACTCATTGCAGCCTTGAATTTCTGGGCTCAAGTGATCCTCCCACCTCAGCCTCCTGAATAGCTGGGATTACAGGGATACACCAACACACCCAGCTAATTTTTGTAATTTTAGTAGACACAGGGTTTCACCATGTTGGCCAATCTGGTCTGAAACTCTTGACCTCAGATGATTCACCCACCTCAGCCTCCCAAAGAGCTGGATTTACAGGCGTGAGCTACTGCACCAGGCCCTTTTGTTCCTTTTGATGCAGGATTTTTCTTGGCCTCTTTGCCAGACTGGCAGCAGGGGACGCCCCATCTTCTCAGCCAGCCAGGCCACATCTGTCTTGTGGTCCAGGCTGTAGCTCCCCTGGACACTGCCGTGACCCAGCACTCAGTGTAGGGTCCAGCCAGCTGCTCCAAGCACTGACACAGGGGCAGGCTCTGTGCGGGGCCCACGGACAGACCAGGTGTGTTGCCCCGAGGGAAACACAGGAGGCCCCTCGACCCTGAAGCCCCAGAGCGGGTGTTACAGTGTGCTAATTAGCTTTTTTTTTTTTTTTTTTTTTTTTGAGATGGAGTCTTGCTCTGTCACCCAGGCTGGAGTGCAGTGGCATGATCTTGGCTCACTGCAACCTCTACCTCCCAAGTTCAAGCGATTCTCGTGCCTCAGTCTTCCAAGTAGCTGGGATTACAGGCACCTGCCACCATGTCCTGCTAATTTTTGTATTTTTAGTAGAGATGGGGTTCCACCATGTTGGCCAGGCTGGTCTTAAATTCCTGACCTCAGGTAATCTGCCTGTTTCAGTCTCCCAAAGTGCTGGGATTACAAATGTGAGCCACCACACCCAGCCTAATTTGCTCTTTTAGTTCCACCGTCCACAACCCAATGGAGGGCAGCATGTTAGCAGCTCAGTCAGCTCCTTGCCTCATTCTGGCCCGCAGCTCTGGGACTGGCTTGGTCCCATCTCTGCTTCTATTGCATGGGGCAGCTGCCCTCTGCCAGCAAGCACAGAGCGCCACACTGTTACAGCCTTCCTGGGTACCTGCATTCGGTGAGTCCCGAGCTCTTGTCCCGTGTCCAAGAAGAATGAGGTCATACTGACAATTGAAAGATGATAAGGACAGAATTTTATTGAGCAATGAAACAGCTGTCAGACAAGAGGGGATGGGATGGGAAGGTTGTCTCTCTCAGTGTGGTTGAGTGTGGGAGTTTTTATAGGCACAGGATAGGGGAGGGGCAGGTTGTAAGTAGTATTGGAAAAGGTAACATTTGATTGGTTAAAAAACATTATTGAGGCCAGGTGCAGTGGCTCACGCCTGTAATCCCAGCATTTGGGGAGGCCAAGATGGGCCATCACCTGAGATCAGGAGTTCAGACCAGCCTGGCCAACATGGTGAAAACCTGTTTCTACTAAAAGTACAAAAATTAACTGGGCATGGTGGTGGGTACCAGCTACTTGGGAGCCTGAGGAGGGAGAATTGCTTAAACCCAGGAGGTGCAGGTTGCAGTGAGCTGAGATCGCACCACTGCAAAAAAAAAAAAAAAAAGTCTTATTCAGGAAGAACCAGTCAGGAAAGGGTGGGCAAACAGGAACAGAAGTTCTCAGTCTGGGTTGTGGATTTCCTTTGGGACCAGCGGTCCAGGCTGTTTTTGGCTCAAAGGTACAGTTTCCCCAGGGACCCATTCCTATCTGTCCAGGCATTTGCCTGCCTCCTCCTGGCCTCCCTTCTTTTTGCCCTTCTTTCTTTCCTCTCTTTCCTTACTTTTTCCCATTCTCTTTTCTTCCTCCTTTCTTTTCTCCTCCTCTCCTCTCCTCCCCTCCCCTCCTTTCCCCTCCCTTCCCCTCCCCTCCTCTCCCTCCCTTCTCCTCCTCTCCCTCCCCTCCCCTCCTCTCCTCTCCTCCCTGCCTTCCTCCTTACCTTTTTCTTCCTCTCCTCTCCTTCCCTTCGCCTTCCCCTCCCCCTTCCCCTCCCCATCCTTCTTCCTTTCCCCTCCCCCTCCTTCTCCCCTTCCCCTTCCCCACCCTCCCCTCCCCTTCCCCCTCCTTCTTCCCTTCCCCTCCCCCCTTCCCTCCCCCTTTCCCCTCCCCTTCCCTCTCTCCTTCCTCCTTTCCTTCCATCATATTTATCAAAGGCCTGCTGTGTGCCCAGCTTTGTACTAGTTTCTGAGATACCATGATGAGCCAAACAAGCAGTCTCTACCCCCCCCAGGAACTTACAGTTTTATTATAATAATGTTACAAGTTTCCTTAAAATGGGTGAGTGTGGTGGCTCATGCCTGTAATCCCAGCGCTTGCGGAGTCCAGAGTAGGCAGATCACTTGAGGTCAGGAGTTTGAGACCAGCTTGGCTAAAATGGTGAAACCTGGTATCTACTAAAAAATACAAAAGTTAGTCAGGCATGGTGGTGAGCACCTATAATCCCAGCTACTCAGAAGGTTGAGATGGGAGAATCGCTTGAACCCAGGAGGCAAAGGTTGCAGTGAGCTGAGATCATGTCACTGCACTCCAGCCTGGGTGACAGAGCGAGACTTTGTCTCAAAACAAACAAAACAAAAACAAAAAGATGAGCAATTACAGAAGCCAGACCCCCTCACCAGCTGCAGGCTATGTGGCAGATGGGGACAGGACTAAACCTACCTTCCCCATCCTGGATCCCTTCTCCTGGCGTCTAACAGCAGCTCCAAAACATTTTTGTTTGTTTGTTTGTTTGTTTTGAGACAGAGTCCAACTCTGTTGCCCAGGCTGGAGTGCAGTGGTGCAATCTTGGCTCACTACAGCCTCTGCCTCCTGGGCTCAAGCAATTCTCCTGCCTCAGCCTCCTGAGTAGCTGGGATTACAGGCGTGCACCACCACTCCCAGCTAACTTTAAATTTTTAGTAGAGAATGAAAGACATGAAGCATTGGGTTTCACCATGTTGGCCAGGCTGGTCTTGAACTCCTGACCTCAAGTGATCTGCCCACCTTGGCATTTCAAAGTGCTGGGATTACAGGCGTGAACCACCATGCCCCGCCTCTGAAACATTGCAGGGTCCAGCCCCACAGGGTCTAGTGGGTGTTCTTTTGTGTGCAGAGATGACAGATTACAGGAAAGAAAGAAACAAGACACAGAGAAAGGAGAAGAATTCAGCTGACCGCGGCTACCAAGGCGGGGAGTCCAGTAGTGGCCCCGAATGCCAAAATGCGCTGATATTTATAGAATACAAGGCAGGGGGGCAGGGCCAGGAGAGCGACTCATCTGACATGATTGGTAGGGGTCAAGCAAATCACATTCTTACGATATGAGGGGCCACAGTTGGTACAGTACAGGGGGCCCCTAACTCTCAGGTGGCCGCTGCAAGGAGGGGAGGCATATCCGTCAGTATTTTTCTATGCACTTGTCAGAGAGATCAAAGGCTTTTAGGATTCCTCTATTCTTACTTCTCACAACTTCTAAGCATTTACAAGGGAGCATCGGGTGGGAAAGCAGAACATGAAAGTGGACAAGGATGGTGGCCATGGGAGCACAGCGCCGCGGAGAGGCATTTAAGCCCCTGGATGTCTACGGCTACTGTCAGACCTTCCTTGAGAGCTGGACAGAGCAGAGTGTTCTCTGAACTCCCCAGCGAAAGGGAAACTCCCCCTCACAGCCTGCTAAGCAACGGGCGCCTCCCCAGGCACTGGTGCGCTGGTGCTACCGCAGGGCGTTTACTCTCATCTTCTGATCACTTCTCACAATTAATTTCCCTTCAGTTCCGAATTATATTTCACCCGATTATTTCTGTGCTATAAGACTAAAAATGTTTCTACACCATAATACTAAAACAAAGGTGAATAATAGAGAATAATAATGTAATAAGATTGATTACATAATGGATTGTGTGATTGTATTTAAGTCTATTTGCTGTCATTGCTATAACTAAGTAATCAGTAAATATGTTTGGTATGATTGCTGTATCTAAGCAATGCTTTATTATGCTGGGACAGATTGTGCCTTCAGTCTCTTGCCATGGCACCTGGGCAAGTTTCCTCCCACAAACCATCTCTGTTGATGGAAGGAATTACCCTCAACCCCCTCCAGGCATGAGAAGTATAACCCGGCTTCCTGCTGTTTCAGGCTTCGGAAGGTCTGTGAGGATATTCTTGGCAGACTCTTGGGGCTTTCACCAATTCATGGCCGCGGATCTGGAACACGAGGACATGGTGGAGACAGCTGTTTTTGGTACTGAGAACAACCTGATCATCACGGGGTCCCTTGATGCTCTTGTTCAGGTGAGGGGAGACCCAGGACCCTTCATCCTCACCTCTGACTCCAGAATAGACAATGTAATCTTTTTTTTTGAGACGGAGTCTTGCTCTGTTACCAGGCTGGAGTGTAGTGGCACGATCTCATCTCACTGCAACCTCTAACTCGTGGGTTCCAGCGATTCTTCTGCCTCAGCCTCCCGAGTAGTTGGGATTACAGGCATGCACCGCCATGCCCAACTAATTTTTGTTTTTAGTAGAGACAGGGTTTCACCATGTTGGCCAGGATGGTTGCGATCACCTGACCTCGTGATCCGCCTGCCTCGGCCTCCCAAAGTGCTGGCATTACAGGTGTGAGCAACTGAGCCTGGCCAACAACGTGATTCTTTGGGGATTTTTGGCTGCAAAATACAGAAACAAACAAACAAAAAAATAGTGCAGGCAAAATAGGTGAGTTCATTGAGAGGATATGAGGGTGTATCCTCAGCTCCATGGCAGACCTAGGTGGGAATTACTGAAATGTTCAACAAAGGAGGTGGCATTTCCAAGCTGAGCCTCAAACCTCTGGGGCAAATTTGAGCTTTCAGAGTGGAGCAGGGTTGTGGGGACAAAAATTCTCAATTTAAGTTCAAAGTTGTCCAAGCTAGCGAGAAAGGCACATGGCAAAATAGCAGATCTTGCCCACGGTGGCTCACGCCTGTAATCCCAGCACTTTGGGAGGCTGAGGCAGGCGGATCACAAAGTCAGGAGTTTGAGACCAGCCCGACCAACAAGGTGAAACTCCGTCTCTACTAAAAATACAAAAAATTAGCTGGGTGTGGTGACATGCACCTGTAATTTCAGCTACTCAGGAAGCTGAGGCAGGAGAATTGCTTGAACCTGGGAGGCTGAGGTTGCAGTAAGCCAAGATCATGCTACTGCACTCCAGCCTGGGTGACAGAGTGACTCCATCTCAAAAAAAAAAGGCAGATCTTGCTGTGTTTTAGTCTCACACCTCTTGGAGTTATTTTTGTTTTATTTTTTGAGCCAGAGTCTCGCTCTTGTTGCCCAGACTGCAGTGCAGTGGCGCTATCTCAGCTCACCGCAACCTCCGCCTCCCAGGTTCAAGCGATTTTCCTGTCTCAGCCTCCCAAGTAGCTGGGACTACAGGCATGCACCACCATGCCCAGATACTTTTTGTATTTTTAGTAGAAATGGGGTTTCTCCATGTTGGTCAGGCTGGTCTCAAACTCCTGACCTCAGGTGATCCACCTGCCTCAGCCTCCCAAAGTGCTGGGATTACAGGCGTGAGTCACCACGCCTGGCCCAAAGTTCTTTTTTTTTTTTTTTTTTCCTCCTCCTTAGATCAATTTTTTCCAGTTTTAAAGAAATTGGCAAATAGGCTGTGCACAGTGGCTCACACCCATAATCCCACACTCTGGGAGGCCGAGGCTGGCGGATCACTTGGGCCCTTGGCAACATAGCAAGACTCTGTCTGTACAAAAACACATATTAAAAAATTAGCGAGGCATGGTGGCTTGTGCCTATAGTTGTAGTGCCTCAGGAGGCTGAGGTGGGAGGATCACAGGAGCCTGGGAGGTAGAGGCTGCAGTGAGCTGTGATTATGCCACTGCACTTCAACCTTATTTTCAACAAAAAATAAGAATGATTTTCTTTTTTTTTTTTCTTTGAGACTGAGTCTTGCTCTGTCACCCAGGGTGGAGGGCAGTGGTGTGATCTTGGCTCACTACCACCTCTGCCTCCTGGGTTCAAGTGATTCTCCTGCCTCAGCCTCCCGAGTAGCTGGGATTACAGGCACCTGCTACCATGCCTGGCTAATTTTTGTATTTTTAGTAGAGATGAGGTTTCACCATACTGGCCAGGCTGATCTTGAACTCCTGACCTCATGTGATCAGCCCACCTTGGCCTCCCAAAGTGGGATTACAGTCATGAGCCACTGGGCCTGGCTAGAATAAAATTTTTTTTAAAAAAAATTGAAAGATTTGAGCTTCCAGACCCTCTAAAAAAGATTTACAGAGTACCCTCCAGGGGTTCCCCAGAACACACTTGAAGAACTGCTGCGGTAGCTGCTGGGTTCAAGCCTGAGGAAGTTAAAGGGATGGGAAAATGTGAAGGCCCTTGAACTACAGCCTGAAATTCACATTAGGTGTATGAATGGGCCAAAGCGTATTTCTGAACTATGATTGTCCACGGAAGACGTCAGATCTGCCCTCCTGTTGTGCATCCTCAGGTGTGGAGTCTGTCAGAACAGGGGACCCTGCTGGACATCCTGGAAGGCGTCGGGGGCCCCGTGAGCCTGCTGGCCTCCTGTGGGGCTTTGGTGGCATCTGCTTCCTGGCAGTCCTCGTCTTTCAAGGTCTGGGATCTCAGCAATGCTCATAGGCCCCGGGCCCCTGCGCCATTTCTGGACCGCACCGGCCTCACTGCAGTGTCCCACAACGGAAGCTACGTCTACTTCCCCAAAATTGGGGACAAAAACAAAGTCACTATTTGGGACTTGGCAGAAGGTTGGTAAGGAATAAGTATGGCCATTTTTGTGGGTAAGGCTTGGAGCAGTCTGTCTTAGTTTAGGCTGCTGTAACCAATTATCCCCAAAGGCCAGGCACAGTGGCTCACATCCATAATCCCAGCACTCTGGGAGGCCGAGGCGGATGGATTGCTTGAGGTCAGGAGTTCGAGACCAGCCTGGCCAACATGGTAAAACTGAGTCTCTACTAAAAATACAAAAATTAGCCGGGAGTTGTAGCACATGCCTGTAATCCCAGCTACTCAGGAGACTGAGGCAGGAGAATTGCTTGAACCTGGGAAGCAGAGCTTCAGGGAGCTGAGATCACGCCATTATACTCCAGCCTGAGTGACAGAGTGAGACACTACCTCAAAAAAATTTTTTTTTAATATCCCCATAGATTAGGCAGCATAAGCAACAAATATTGCTCAGCATTCTGGAGGCTGGGAAGCTGTAGGTCAAAGCGTAAGCAGATCTGGTGTCTGGAGAAGGAGACCTGTTTCCTGGTTCACAGATGGCCATCATCTCAATGCATCCCCGAAGAGAGAGAGAAATCTCTTGTGTCCCTTCTTGTAAGGGCACTAATCCTATTCATGAAGTCCCCACCTTCCTGATCTAATCACTCCCCTGTCACCCTGCTGTAGTTTAGAGGTTTGTCCCTATAAATCTGATGTTGACATTTAATATCTGGCTGGGCACAGTGGCTTAAACCTATAATCACAGCCCTTTGGAAGGCTGAGGCAGGAGGATCACTTGAGCTCAGGGTTCAGCAACAGCCTGGGCAACATGAGAGGACGCTGTTTCTACTAAAAATTTAAAAATTAGCTGGACATAGTTGTGTATCCTTATAGTGGCATATGCTTGTAGTGGTGTATGTAGCTATTTGGGGGGCTGAGGCAGGAGGATCGCTTGAGTCTGGGAAGTTGGGCTACAGGGAGCCATTATCGTACCACTGTATGTCAGCCTGGGTGACAGAGCAAGACTCTGTCTCTAAAAGGAAAAAAAGCCAGGCGTGGTGGCTCACCTGTGATCCCAGCACTTTGGGTGGCTGAGGCGGGTGGATCACTTGCGCTCAGAAGTTTGAGACCAGACATCTCTACATAAAAAACAAAAATGGCCGGTTGCGGTGGCTCATGCCTGTAATCCCAGCACTTTGGGAGGCCAAGGCATGCAGATCACAAGGTCAGGAGTTCGAGACCAGCTTAGCTAATATGGTGAAACCCCATCTCTACTAAAAATACAAAATTTAGACAGGCATGGTGGTCGGCGCCTATAGTCCCAGCTACTTGGGAAGCTGACATGGGAGAATCGCTTGAACCCAGGAGGTGGAGGTTGCAGTGAGCCAAGATCTCAGCACTACACTCCAGCCTGGGAAACAGAGTGAGACTCCATCTCAAAAAAAAAAAAAAAAAGTCAAAAATTAGCTTGTTGTAGTAGTAGTGCATGTCTGTAGTCCCGGCTACTTGGGAGGCTGTTATGGAAGGATCTCTTGAGCACAGGAGGGAGAAGTTGCAGTGAGCTGAGATTGCGCTCCACTGGTGACATTGCACCACTGCACTCCAGCCTGAACGACAGAGCGAGACCCTGTTTCCAGACAAAATTAAACAACAGCAAAAAAGTAATTTAATCCCCAGTGTGGGAGGGGGGCCTCATGGGAGGCGTTTGAGTCAAAGGGACACATCCCTTGTGAATAGATTAATGCCCTCTCCTGGCGAGGCAGGGGTGGTGGTGAATAAGTTCTCACTCTGTTAGTTCCTACGAGGTTGTTAAAAAGAACCTGACCTCAGCTACTACTCAGGAGGCAGAAGCAGGAAGACTGCTTGAGGCCAGGAGTTCAAGACCAGCCTGGGCAACATAGACAGACTCTGTTGCAATAAAAATAAAATTAGCTGGGCGTGGTGATAGTCACCTGTAGTCCCAGCTACTTGGGAGACTGAGGCAGAAGGATTGCTTGAGCCTATGAGTTTGAGGCTGCAGTGAGCTGTGATTGCACCACTGCACTCCAGCCTGGGTGACAGAGCAAGATTCTATCTCAAAAAGCAGGCTGGCACATCCCTCTCTTGTTTCCTCTGGCCGTGTGATCACCGCACACCCCAGCTCCCCTTCACCTTTTGTATTGAGTAGGAGAAGCCTGGGGCCCTCACCAGAAGCAGAGGCTGGCACATGCTTCCTGTACACCCTGCAGAACAATGAGACTCTTACTCATGGTGCATTACTGTATTGGTCCGTTCTCCCACTGCTAATAAAGACATACCTGAGGCCAGGTGTGGTGGCTTGCACCTGTAATCCTAGCAGTTTGGGAGGCCAAGAAGGGCAGATCATTTGAGGTCAGGAGTTCGAGACCAGCCTGGCCAACATGGTGAGACCCTATCTCTACCAAAATGCCAAAAATTGGCTGGAAATTGCTTGAACCCTGGAGGCGGCAGTTACAGTGAGCTGAGATCATGCCACTGCACTCCAGACTGGGCAAGAGTGAGACTCTGTCTCAAAAAAAAAGGCATACCTGAGACTGGGTAATTTATAAAGAAAAGAAGTTTAAGCTTAATGGACTGCAGTTCCACAAGCTGGGGAGGCCTCAGAATCATGGCAGAAGGCAAATGAGGAGCAAAGTCATGTCTTACGTGGCAGTAGGTGAGAGAGCACATGCAGGGGAACTGCTGTTTATAAAACCATCGGATCTGGCCGGGTGCAGTGGCTCACGCCTGTAATCTCAGGACTGTGGGAGGCCGAGGCGGATGGATCACCCGAGGTCGGGAGTTCGAGACCAGCCTAACCAACATGGAGAAGCCCCATATCTACCAAAAATAGAAAAATTAGCTGGGTGTGGTGGCCCATGCCTGTAGTCCGAGCTACTCGGGAGGCTGAGGCAGGAGAATCGCTTGAACCCAGGAGGCAGAGGTTGTGGTGAGTCGTGATTGCCCCACTGCCCTCCAGCCTGGGCAACAAGAACAAAACTCTGTCTCTAAAAACAAACAAACAAAAAAACAAAACCATCGGAGCTCATGAGACTTATTCACTATCACGGGAACAGTATGGCGGAGACCACCTCCATGATGCAATTACCTCCACCTGGTCTCGCCTTTGACCTGTGGGAATTCTTACAATTCAAAATGAGATTTGGGTGGAAAAACAGACAAACCATGTTTGGCTGCCTCAGGTAGTCCTTCATAGCAACACCAGTGGACTAAGACAGGCCCCAGCTCCTAATACCATCCCATGGAGGGTGAGGATTTTAACATAGGAACTTGTGGGGGGGAGGGAAGACACAAATCTTCAGTCCATAATGCCCCGATAACTTCAATTACGTGCAAAGTAGTCAGTCATGGCCGGGCGCTGTGGCTCACACCTGCAATCCCAGCACTTTGGGAGGCTGAGGCGGGCGGATCACTTGAGGTCAGGAGATGGAGGACAGCCTGGCCAACATGGCGAAACCATATCTCTACTGAAAATACAAAAACTAGCCAAGCATGGTGGTGTGTGCCTGTAATCTCAGCTACTTGGGAGGCTGAAACAGGAGAATCACTTGAACCCGGGAGGCAGAAGTTGCAGTGAGCTGAGATCACTCCACTGCACTCCAGCCTGGGTGACAGAGCGAGACTCCATCTCAAAACAAAATAAATAAATAAGTAATTGCCCTAAAATTAAAATATAAATAAATATTTATTGTTATTTTTTTTTTTCAGACGGAGTTTCCCTCTTGTTACCCAGGCTGGAGTGCAATGGCGCGATCTCGGCTCACCGCAACCTCTGCCTCCTGGGTTCAGGCAATTCTCCTGCCTCAGCCTCCTGAGTAGCTGGGATTATAGGCACGCGCCACCATGCCCAGCTACTTTTTGTATCTTTAGTAGAGACGGGGTTTCACCATTTTGACCAGGATGGTCTCGATCTCTTGACCTCGTGATCCACCTGCCTCGGCCTCCCAAAGTACTGGGATTACAGGCTTGAGCCACCGCGCCCGGCTAAATAAATATTTTTTTAAAAGAGAAACTCTCCAGGAGACAGGTGTGGTGGTGATGTGTGGTCCCAGCTACTCAGGAGGCTGAGGCCAGAGGATCGCTGGAGCCCAGGAGTTCGAGGCTACAGTGAGCCATCATCGTACCTCACTCCAGCCTAGGCAGTAGAGTAAGCCCTGTCTCTTAAGACAGAACAACAAAAAAAGAGGCCCCCAACGAGCTTCTTTGCTTCTTTCTACCGTGTGAGGACAAAGAAAAGCCAGCCAGCCATGGTGGCCCAGAAACAGGACACTCACCAGATACCTAATTTCTATTTTTAATTTATTTTAACCCAAGACACCAAATTTGCTGGCACCTTGATCTTGGACTCCCCAGCCTCCTCCAGAAATATGAGAAATAAATTTCTATTCTTTCTTTAAATTAAAAAAAAGAGAGATAGGGCCTCTGTTGCCCAGGCTGGAGTGCAGTGGCGCTATCATAGCTCACTGCAGCCTTGAAGTCTCCGGTTCAAGCAATCCTCCTGCCTCAGACTCTGGAGTAAGCAGGCATGCACCACCAAGCCTGATACCTTTTAAAAATGTTTCTTTAGAGGTGGGGTCTCACTGTGTTGCCCAGGCTAGTCTCAAACTTCTGGCCTCAAGTGATCCTCCCTCCTCAGCTTCCCAAAATGCTGGAATTATAGGCATGAGCCACCAAGCTGGGCCTGATTTGCTGTTCTTTCTAAGCCACCCAGCCAATGACATTCTGTTACAGCAGCCAGAATTGAGTGATATGCCCGCCTGAGCCTCCCAAAGTGCTGGGATTACAGGTGTGAGCCACCGCATCCGGCTAAATTTTGTATGTTCTGTAGAGACAGGGTCTCTCTATGTTGCCCAGGGTGGTCTCGACCTCCTGGGCTCAAGGACTCTGCCTGCCTCAGCCTCCTAAAGTGCTGGGATTAGAGACACACACCACCACATCTGGTTAATTTTTTAATGTTTTCGCGGAGGGAGGGGTCTCACTCTGTTGCCCAGGCTGATCTTGAACTCCTGGCCTCAAGCCATCCTCTCACTTCAGCTTCCTGGGATTACAAGCATGAGCCATTGCACCTGGCATCTCTCCGTTTCCTCGGGCCCTAGTTCACCCTGCAACTAGCAAACAAGCACCTCGAGAATTGTAACCCCACTTGACTTGCTTCCTGCCAACACCCTGAGCTTTGCCTAGCAGGCTGTTACTCTAAAAATGTTTGCCAAATTAACGACTGAATAAAGTTAAGAATGAGCTTGAAAATTAGGATTCTTTTCTCCTATTAGTTCATCATTAACAAGGAGTTTCTTTTCTTTATCTTTTTCTTTTTTGAGGAGTCTTATCTGTTGCCCCGGCTGGAATGCAGTGGTGTGATCTCAACTCATTGCAACCTCTACCTCCTGGGTTCAAGTAATTCTCCTGCCTCACCCTCCCTTCCAAGTGGTTGGGATTACAGGTGCCTGCCACCAGGCCTGGCTAATTTTTGTATTTTTAGTGGAGATAGGGTTTGGCCATGTTGGCCAGGCTGGTCTCGACTCCTGACCTCAGGTGATCCACCCACCTCGGCCTCCCAAAGTGCTGGCATTACAGGCGTGAGCCACTGCCCCGCCATTAACAAGGAGTTTCTATACCTCTACCCACCCCCCCAGCAGCACTGTGCCAAGTACTGTTGGTGAGAAACTCAGAAATCCCTCACTGTCCGATTCTCAAAGACCCAAGGGTGCCACACCTTCGTTTTACTCCTGGGAATTGTCCACTGATGAAAGAAGCCTCTTATCTAGAAATGGCAGGAGGATGTGACCACCTCCCCTGAAATGGCCCCAGTCAAGGACTGCCTGATACAGGAGTACAAAAGTCTGGTCCCCTTGCTTCAAGATGGGACAATTCATGGTGGCTCATGCCTGTAATCCCAGTACTTTGGGAGGCCAAGGTGGGAGGATCCCTTGGGCCCTGGAGTTCAAGACTAGCCTGGGCAACATGGCAAAATCCTGTCTCTACAAAAATTACAAAAATAAGCTGGGCGTGGTGGCCGGAGCCTGTAGTCCCAGTTACTTGGGGGGCTGAGGTTGGAAAATTGCTTGAGCCTGGGAGGGTGAGGCTACGGTAAGCCATGATCATGCCACTGTACTCCAGCCCAGACAACAGAGTGAGACTGCATTTCTAAAAACTAAATAGGCTGGGCACAATGGCTTATGCCTGTAATTCCAGCACTTTGGGAGGCCAGGGCAGGTGGATCACTTGAGGTCAGGAGTTTGAGACCAGTCTGGCCAACATGGTGAAACCCCATCTTTACCAAAAATACCCCAAAATTATCTGGGCATGGTGCCAGGTACCTGTAGTCCCAGCTGAAGTGGGAGAATTGCTGGAACTGGGAGGCAGAGGTTACAGTGAGCCAAGATTGTACCACTGCTCTCCAGCCTGGGTGACAAAGCAAGACTCCATCTGAAAAAAACAAATTAGTGGGGTGTGGTGGCCGGTGCCTGAGTCCCAGCTACTCAGGAGGCTGATCAGTTGAATCCAGGATTTGGAGGCTGCAGTGAACTACGATTGCGCCACTGCACTCCAGTCTGGTGAACAGAGCAACTGTCTCAAAAAACATTTTTTAAACCCTTAAAAATATGATCACCAAGCCGGGCACGGTGGCTCATGCCTGTAATCCCAGCACTTTGGGAAGCTGAGGCAGGCGGACCACCTGAGGTTGGGAGTTTGAGACCAGCCTGACCAACAGGGAGAAACCTCCTCTCTACTAAAAATACAAAATTAAACAGGCATAGTGGCACATGCCTGTAATTAATCCCAGCTACTCGAGAGGCTGAGGCAGGAGAATTGCTTGAACCCGGCAGGCGGAGGTTGCAGCGAGCCAAGATGGTGCCACTGCACTCCAGCCTGGGCAACAGAGCAAGACTCTGTCTCAAAAAAAAAAAAGCCAGGGAAGCAATGCCGCTGTGATTAATTCTCTTTTATTGCTACTTTTTTTTTTTGAGACGGAGTTTCACTCTTGTTACCCAGGTTGGAGTGCAATGGCGCAATCTCAGCTCACCGCTACCTCCGCCTCCTGGGTTCAGGCAGTTCTCCTGCCTCAGCCTCCTGAGTAGCTGGGATTACAGGCACACAGTACCATGCCCAGCTAATTTTTTTGTGTTTTTAGTGGAGGCAGGGTTTCACCATGTTGACCAGGATGGTCTCGATCTCTTGACCTTGTGATCCACCCGCCTCAGCCTCCCAAAGTGCTGGGATTACAGGCGTGAGCCACCGCGCCCGGCATGATTCATTCTCAGTATGAGTAATTCTCATTTTTTCTTCCTGCCAGGTGAGGAACAAGATTCCCTGGACACCTCCAGTGAGGTCAGGTGTCTGGAGGTCGCTGAGCAGCACAAGCTCCTGTTCACTGGCCTCGTGTCGGGGGTTGTTCTTGTGTTTCCCCTGAATTCCAGGCAGGATGTGATATGCATTCCCCCTCCCGAGGCCCGGAAAGCGGTCAGCTGCATGTCCCTGAGCAAGCGGGAGGACCGCCTGGCCATCGCCTATGACAGCATCGTCCTGGTGCTGGACATCAGCCCCGGGGACCCTTGCCCACTCATCGATGGCCCAAGGTATACCTTTTATACCCAGCTGCCCGAGACCATCTCAAATGTGGCCGTTCTGACGGACTACCGCGTGATCTACAGCATGACCAACGGGGACCTCTTTCTTTACGAGTGTGCAAATTCCAAAGCGTTTCCCTTGGAGGCCCACAGGAGCCGAGTCACGTGTGTGGAGGTCAGCCACAAGGAGCAGCTGCTGGCCAGCGGGTCTGAGGATGCCCTGCTGTGTCTCTGGGACCTACAGGCATGGAAGCGGATATTCGAGATGACCTACACGGTGCGTGGCCTGCCTCCCCACGTTCAGGCTAGACCCAGGCTTTGGAAAACCAATAGACAGTCACCATTTACTGAGTACACACCGTGGGCCATCGACCTGGGTGGGACTAAGGTGAAGAAAGTACGGCACTTGGTCAGGCACAGAGGCTTACGCCCTGTAATCCCAGCACTTTGGGAGACTGAGGTGGGTGGATCACCTGATATCGGGAGTTTGAGACCAGTTTGGCCAACATAGTCAAACGCTGTCTCTACTAAACATACAAAAATTAGCCAGGCCTGGTGTTGCATGCCTGTAATCCCAGCTACTCGGGAGGCTGAGGCAAGAGAATTGCTTGAACTTGGAGGCAGAGGTCATGGTGAGCCAAGATTATGACACTGCACTCCAGCCTGGGCAACAGACACTCCATCTAAAAAAAAAAAAAAAAAAAGAAAGTGAGGCATTTGTCTCAGGAGCAGAGTTTTTTTGTTTTTATTACTGTTTTTGTTTGTTTTTTGAGATGGTGCCTCGCTCTGTCACCCAGACTGGAGTGCAGTGGTACAATCTCAGCTCACGGCAACCTCCGCCTCCTGGGTTCAAGTGATTCTCTTGCCTCAGCCTCCCAAGTAGCTGTGTTTGCCGGTGTGCACCACCATGCCCGGCTAATTTTTGTATTTTTAGTAGAGATGGGGGTTTCACCATGTTGATCAGGCTGGTCTCGAACTGCTGATCTCATAATCCACCCGCCTTGGCCTCCCAAAGTGCTGGGATTACAGGTTTGAGCCACTCTACCTGGCCAAGAAAGAATATTTGAATACAATATTTTAAAAAAATCTAAAATGAATACCAAAATTCCATGCGGAACAAAATGTCAACATTATAGGTAAAAACTGGATCCAATGCTGCACTTCTTCCAGACTGTTTCACTCTTCCCGTCATCCTGGCTCTGTGCTGTTTCTTTATCCAATTAATATTTATTGAACAACCTCTGCCAGCCCCACTTTTTATTACCGAGGAAGCAGCTGTGACGAGGGTGACACTATCCCATGTCTTGAAGCCATTTTCTACTAGTTGGGGAGACACAGTGAGCTCTGTCTGTCTGGGCGGAAGGTTGTTTTTTTTTTTCTTTTATAGAGACGGGGTTTCACCATGTTGGCCAGGATGGTCTCGATCTCCTGACCTCATGATCACCCACCTCGGCCTCCAAAGTGCCGGGATTACAGGCGTGAGCCACCGCGCCCGGCCCCACAAAGGATTTTTTTCTGTGTTTTGCTCACTGAAGTTTCCCTTATTCCTCAGAGAGCTCCTGACATTTCCTTGATGCCCAATAAATGGCAAGGGCTGCTGCTTAAGAAAGCCACGTAAGGCCGGGCACCGGGGCTCACGCCTGGAATCCCAGCACTGTGGGAGGCTGAGGTGGGTGGATCACTTTAGGTCAGGAGTTCAAGACCAGCCTGGCCAACATGGTGAAATCCCGTCTCTACTAAACATACAAAAATTAGCCGGGCTTGGTGGCACATACCTGTAATCCCAGCTACTTGGGAGGCTGAGGCAGGAGAATCACTTGAACTCGGGAGGTAGAGGTTGCAGTGAGCCAAGCTTGTGCTATTGCACTCCAGCCAGGGAAATATGAGTGAAACTCTGTCTCAGAAAAAAACAGTAACAAAAAAAGAAATTGAATCCTATAATTGCTCCTTTCCAATGCAAAATGTCTCTAAACCTTTCTATCCAACCTCTATGGAGGTGTGCCTGGGTTGGGGTAACATCTGTGCTGTTCATCTCCCAGGATTTCACTGGTTCCATCCCCCTGTGGGGTGCTTCAAAGCCTGGTTCCAAGGTCAGGAGTTTGGGACTAGCCTGGCCAACATGGTGAAATGCCATATCTATTAAAAATACAAAAATTAGCTGGGAATGATGGCAGGAATCTGTAGTCCCAGCTACTTGGGAGGCTGAGGCAGGAGAATCCTTAAACCCAGGAGGCGGAGGTTGCAGTGAGCTGAGATCAGCCTGGGTGGCAGAGCAAGCTTCATCTCTCTCTCTCTCTCTCTCTCTCTCTCTCTCTCTCTCTCTCTCTCACTCACACACACACACACACACACACACACACATGGGCATAGTGGCTCATGCCCGCAATTTCAGCACTTTGGGAGGCCAAGGGGAGCAGATCACTTGGTCTCAGTTTGCGACCAGCCTTGGCAACATGGTAAAACTCTGTCTCTACTAGAAATATAAAAATTAGCCAGGTGTGGTGGCACACACCTGTAATCCCAGCTACTGAGAGGCTGAGGCAGGAAAATAGCTTGAACCCAGGAGGTGGAGGTTGTAGTCAAGCTGAGATGGCACAGATGGCACCACTGCACTCCAGCCTGGGTCAGACCTGGCTCAAAAAAGAAAAGGTCTGGTTCTTTGGGGCAGGTTTCCTGGGTATCTTTCAGTTTGGAGTCAAATTCGTATTGTCTGGCTCAGGCACAGTGACTCACACCTGGAATCCCAGCACTTTGGGAGTCTGAGGCTGGTGGATCACCTGAGGTCAGGAGTTGGAGACCAGCCTGGCCAGCATGGTGAAACCCTGTCTCTACTAAAAACACAAAAAATAGCTGGGCGTCATGGCTCATGCCTGTAATCCCAGCTACTTGGGAGATTGAGGCAGGAGAATTGCTTGGGAGGTGGGAGGCGGAGGTTGCAGTGAGCTGAGATCACACCATTGCACTCTAGCCTGGGCAACAAGAGTGAAACTCCATCTCAAAAAAAAAAAAGAGAGAGAGAGAACATATTGTCTGTTTTCAACAGAGTTCTTACTGCAGAGGGGTCCAATGTGCTTGCTTCTCCAAGGATGACAATTACGTGTACGTGGGCTTAAAGGATCGCTCCATACTTGTCTGGAGTGTGCTGGATGGTGAGTCATTTTGCTTTTAGGGCAGGATTGAGTTTTGATCTGGAGATAAAAAGCTCTCACCTGGGTCTTGGGTATTAGAGGGCCCCACTCTGGCCACCTCTAGCTGCATCCGTCAGCTTTTAGGAAGGTGTCTGCATGTAAAGGCAATGGGCCCACAATCCCTCTTCTAGAGCCATGCTCTGGAGTTCGAGAACTCCCTCCCTCTGTAGCCTTCAGTTTTCATTAGGGCATGCGCAGACTTCCTGCATGCAGCTATCCTTCTGAGATACATTGTGCCCCTGGAGTTTGCACTTCTGGGCTCAGGAGTAGCCATGGGGTGGTGTGGATAGAGTTTGGGTGTCTCAGCTGGTTGTGAGATGGAGCTGGGAAGAGTGAGAAGAGAGGAGGGACAAGTCACTAGTAGCAGGGTAGTAGCAGGGTACTGGTTACATCACTACATTCCAGCATAGAACCCTGAGGATCCCAAGAATTCCCAATCTGATCCCGCCTTCCAGGTGTTTGTGAAGGCTCCTTCATCAATATAGGAGGACACAGCATGTTTTATTTACTAGTTTATTCCCTAGAATTGCAATGTTTATATATTGTATCTTCTAGGATGTAGTATTCATTCTTTTCCCCCAGGCCTTATACATTTTAGAAGCAGCCTATTTAAAGACCAACCACTTAGAAAACACCATGTCTCTTGGTCTGTTGAGTATTACGCTAAGGTCTTAGCAAGAGATGACATTGGCCGGGTGCAGTGGCTCATACCTACACTCAATCCCAGCACTTTGGGAGGCTGATGTAGGAGGATTGCTTGAGGCCAGGAGTTCAAGCCTAGTCCTGACAACATAGCAAGACCCTGTCTCTAAAAAAAAAAAAAAATTAGCCAGGCATGGTGGCGCATGCCTGTAGTCCCAGCTACTCAGGAGGCTGAGGTGGGAGGATCACTTCAGCCCAGGAGTTCTGGGCTGTAGTGTGCTATGCCGACTGGGTGTCTGCACTAAGTTCAGCATCAATATGGTGACCTCCCAGGAGCTCGGGACCACTAAGGAGGGGTGAACCAGCCCAGGTCAGAAACAGAGCAGATCAAAACTCCCGTGCTGATCAATAGTGGGATTGCACCTATGAATAGCCACTGCACTCCAGCCTGGGTAACATAGCAAGTCCCCATCTCTAAAAAATAAAAATAAAAAATTAAAATTAACCAGGCATAGTGGCACATGTGTGTAGTCCCAGCTACTCAGGAGGATAAAGTGAGCATGGGAGGTCAAGGCTGCAGTGAAACATGATATGCCTTGCATATCATGGAATGCCATGCATTCCAGCCTGGGCAACAGAGTGAGACCCTGTAAAAAAAAAAGTTAATATTTATTGTATACTGGGTATTGTCCTTAAATCATTTAACTCTCTCAACACTCACTCCCATTTTACAGAGCAAAAACTGAGGCTCTGAGAGGCTGGCAGACTTGTCCAGGGTCACACAGTGAGTAACTAGTAGGCTGAGGTTTGAAGTTGCTCTGCCTGATTTCAGTATCCCTTTGTCACTTTCTTACACTCTCTCCTATGGAAAAGGTGCTCATTGTGTATTACCTCTCTGAACCCTTATGACACTGGTAGGAGATAAGTATCATTGCTATCCTTGTTTGACAATGAAGAAGTTGAAGTTCAGAGAGGTTAGGAGATTTGCCCAAGGTCACAAAAGAAGTAAGTGGCTGAATGAATGTCAGGTGGAGCCTAATACCTTGTAGTCGAATATACCGTAATCTAATACATAGTAAACTATAACACTATAATACATTGTAGTATAGCATGCTGTAGCAAAGATATATATAACTGCTATAAAGTACAGATGGCTCAGAAGCTGAAGGTTGATGATTGTGGCCTTAAAAGCCCATCCTGGGCCAGTTCACAACCTCTCTTCCTTCTCCTCCTTTGACAATAATATTTTCTGAGCTTACCCTAGCCCAAAAACCTGTATTAAACACATGACCTGCATGATGCCTTCCAAACTCAAAAATCCCCCTGGGCAGGTGTAGGATCTGTTATCATTCCCAATGTGCAGATAAAGCAAGAGGGACCCTTTGGGATGATAAATGTCATGTCAAAGTTAATAAGGGGCATAACAGGAATTTGATCCCACGCAGCCAACTCTAGAATGTGTAGGATTGGACCTCTACACCCCTTTTTTCTCATTTGTGTCCTCCTCTTCACCCTTACAGGCACGCTACTGACAGTCCAGTTTGTCCATGCTGTGGTAAACAGAATCATCCCAACCACCAGTGGCTTCATTGCCCCCACCAGGCATGGTTATCTGATCCGAGAGCGTTTCCAGTGCCTTTTAGCAAGAGCCTCACAGCAGGACCCTCACAAGGACTTCAAGAAGGCAGTGTGGATGGTCAAATCCAGGCAGAGAGAGGCGCTAGCAGCAGCTGCAGGAGCATTTCAGGACTTGGAGTCAGAGAGTGCCCAAGGAAATGAATCCAAGTCAAACAAATGTTCACAAGTCTGCCTGATAGTTTAAAAAAAAACTCTGGGGGGGTATAACCTCCAATGACTTAGCCCTATTTAATCTGGTTAAAGCAAAAAGAATATGTTTGCTGGTGTATATTTGGACCCATGGCTTCAGATTACATGACCCAAACCTTGCCTCTTCCCCATTTTTTCCATTCTTCTTTCCTCTTCGTCATTTTCTTTCTTGCCTGCCTGTCTGCCTTTCTTTTCTTTTTCCTTCCTTCCTTCCCCTCTCTCTCTTTCCTTCCCTCCCTCCCTCCCTCCCTCCCTCCCTCCCTCCCTCCCTCCTTCCTTCCTTCCTTCCTTCCTTCCTTCCTTCCTTCCTTCCTTCCTTCTTTTTGGCAGGAGCAGAAGCCTCAATCTTTGTCATTTTCATTCTCAGACCAGCCACCCCAAGTTAGCAACATGGTGGCTAATATGCAGCTGTCTCCAATTTCAACAGAAAAGAGAGCTTCTCTTTCTACAGTCCTAGCCTCCACTCTGTTGGTCCCAGTTGACCCATATGCATAGCCCTAAACCAATTGTTATCTCTGGAAGAATGCAGAGCTCTAATTGGCTGAACTGACCCAATGTCCATCACTGGGGATGAAAATAGAAGAGATTATTCCTGAGACCCAAACTGGGGTTCTGGTACCAGGGGAAGGGGGAATGGATGAATGTGAGACAGAGCAAACCACTGATATGGACCACAGAACTTCACAGTTTATAAAGCATTAGATGCTGTGATCTGATCCTCATCACAACCCATGCTTTAGGGAGGGCAGGAGTTTCTGCATCTATTTAATGGATAAGGAAACTGAGCCTTGCAGAAGTAGTTATGATTTAATTCAGGTCATGAGTCTGGGGTGCAAGGGATCTAAGAGCAAGCCTTCTGTCCCATTCCTGTTAGACCTCACTCCAATTTCAGTCTCCAAAACACGACCATCTCTTCCACAGGTGCCACACTCAAATGCTCACAGGAGCTAGTGACTGATCTAGGTACTTCCATACACCTGAGTGAGCAGCAGAGCGAGATGGAGACTGGGCCTGTGGAAGGCAGAGATTGTGTCTTGGGTGGGTGTGAGCAGCCTGACTCTAGCCCAGAATCACCATGGCAAAACCGGCCGTCTGCCATCAGTGCTTTCAATTGTAGTAATCAAAGCCAGAAATCCAGACTTTTATGCAAAAATCTTCTGACTTTGAAAGTTGGCAATTGGTTTAATTTGTATCTATAGCACATTTGGCAAGTGCGTCTTTGGTTAATGAGCTGATTTCAAGACTCAAGCTGGCGGTGAAAACACCAACATGCTATAGTTCTTCCATCTCTATTCCCTGGCTCCCGAACTTTTGGAATAAAGATGTGGTTTTTTCACCTTAAAAACTGAAGGCTCTTGGAAGTAGGAAGAACTGCTGACATCTCTCTGCTTTGCTTTTGAACCATCTGCCTTATGCAAGTTTAACAGTCAAATTGTTTTCTTTCCACTTAAGTGGATCTTTCTTCTTTGCCCACAGCCTTCTGAAAGCCTTCTCAGTGTTCTCAGGCTTTTGCTTTAATGCTAGGAGAGTCTAAATCTTTAAGGTGGCTATTTCTCCTTCCCTCTGTGAAATTCTGACAGTCTCAGAAAAAGCAACTTTAGAAACAGGGGCTTTTGAGCTGAACAAGACCCTACTCCTATCTTATTCATTCATTTTCCAAACCAGGTTTCTAAGGCAGGTTTTGGCAGTTCTGCAAATGTTAGTGTCAAATTTCATTTAAAAATATTTTAAACGGTAACGTTAAAATGTATGCTTGGATGTATTGGGCAGCAGCTTTTAAGGTGTTGAAGATTACCAAGGTTGGTGCAAAAAGTAATTGCGTTTTTTGCCATTAAAAATAATAGCAAAGGCCGGGCGCGGTGGCTCACGCCTGTAATCCCAGCACTTTGGGAGGCTGAGGTGGGTGGATCACAAGGTCAAGAGATCGAGACCATCCTGGTCAACATGGTGAAACCCCGTCTCTACTAAAAATACAAAAACTTAGCTGGGCATGGTGGCACGTGCCTGTAATCCCAGCTACTCAGCGAGGCTGAGGCAGGAGAATTGCCTGAACCCAGGAGGCGGAGGTTGCGGTGAGCCGAGATTGCACCATTGCACTCCAGCCTGGGTAACAAGAGGGAAATTCCGTCTCAAAAATAAATAAATAAATAAATAATAGCAAAAAACAGCCATGCAAGGTCGCTCATGCCTGTGGTCCCAGCACTTTGGGAGGCCGAGGTGGGTGGATCACGTGAGGTCAGGAGTTCAAGACCAGCCCTGAACTCAACTCACACGTTGAGACCCTATCTCTACTAAAAATACAAAACTTAGCTGGCTGTGGTGGTGGGCACAGCTACTTGAGAGGCTGAGGCAGGAGAATCACTTGAACCTAGGAGGTGGAGGTTGCAGTGAGCCAGGATCGTGCCTTCTCAAAAAAAATAAATAAAAATAAAAATAATGGCAAAAACCTCAGTGGCTCACACCTGTAATCCCAGCACTTTGGGAGGCTGAGGCTGGCAGATCACTTGAGACCAGGTGTTCAAGACTAGCCTAGTGAACATGGCGAAACCCCATTTCTACTAAAAACACAAAAATTAGCTGGGCGTGGTGGCATGTGCCTGTAATCCCAGCTACTTGGGAGGCTGAGGCATGAGAATTGCCTGAACCCGGGAGGCAGAGGTTGCAGTGAGCCGAGATCGTGCCACTGCACCTGAGCATGAGTGACAGTGAGACTCTGTCTCAAAGTAATGGCAAAAACCACGATGACTTTTGCACCAACCTAATAATTTAGGATTTTTCTGCCATTTTCATTTAACTGAAGAGCCCATTTGAATTGTGAAGGGAGCTCTTGAAAAAATTGGCTACTCTTTGCCACTGCTTCTCTGTGAATCAAGGGCTTACTCAATGCAGAAATAAAGTGGATGTTGAGACCAACTACGATTTCATCTACAAGCCGGGCATGGCACCTCATGCCTATAATCCCAGCACTTTGGGAGGTTGAGGCAGGTGGATCACCCGAGGTCAGGAGTTCTAGACCAGCCTGACCAATATGGTGAAACCCTGTCTCTACTAAAAATACAAAAATTAGCTGGGCGTAGTGGTGCGCACCTGTAGTCCCAGCTACTTGGGAGGCTGAGACAGGAGAACTGCTTGAACCCAGGAGGCAGAGGTTGCAGTGAGCTGAGATGGAGCCACTGTACTCCAGCCTAAGTGACAGAGTGAGATTCCATCTCAAAAAAAAAATATTTCATCTACAAATTCTGATTTTAAATATCTGTGTCTATCTCGACAGCCTCAGCGAGAATCAATTGTTTTGTAGGTAAATCCTAATTTGAACATTGGACATAACTTTTACTAATAAAATGCTACACCAAATCATTGCTTATATTGGGGATTTTCATGGTGTTTATTCATTTGAAAAAGAGTGTGATCGCTAAGAAAGTTTGACAGTTGGCTGGTCAATGCTTGTAATCCCAACACTTTGAGAGGCCAAGGCAGGAGGATCACTTGAGTCCACGAGTTTGAGACCCCATCTCTACAAAAAAAAATAATTTTTTAAAATTAGCTGTTGTTGGAAATAGATGGTTGGCGCCACAACGAAAAATTAGCACTGAGACAAAGAATTTTTCAGCAACAAAATCTTTACCTCTTGGACTGCAGGAAGGGTACTCTCACTAACCATCTCAGAACAAGAGTACAATGAACAAAGGAAAACATAAATTTACTCCTTACGCATTTGGGGTCGTCCTTACTGCTGTGTCTGATCTCCGTTGGCTGGAGCCAGACCTCACAATCTAAACTGATTGGCTAATAACTTAAAACTTTTCTAGGCCGGGTGCGGTGGCTCATGCCTATAATCCCAGCACTTTGGGAGGCCGAGGTGGGTGGATCACGAGGTCAAGAGATCGAGACCATTCTGGTGAACAAGGTGAAACCCTGTCTCTACTAAAAATACAAAAAAAATTAGCTGGGCATGGTGGTGCGTGCCTGTAGTCCCAGCTACTCGGGAGGCTGAGGCAGGAGAACTGCTTGAACCCAGAAGGCAGAGGTTGCGGTGAGCTGAGATCGTGCCATTTCACTCCAGTCTGGGTAACAACAGCGAAACTTCATCTCAAAAAAAAAAAACAACTTTTCTTTCTTTTTTTTTTTTAAAAAGAAGGGGAAAAAAAGAAAAAGAGGGAAAAAGGAATATTACTTCATTCCTAAAATGGGTTTCAGTAATGGCCGATCAATATTTTGAGTGTTTAAAGTGGTTAATGCATATTTTATGTGTTTAAAATGGAGACCTCTATTGTGTTTATTTGTTCTGGCTCTGAGTTCAAGTCCTGGATATCGTTATCAATTTGTTGTCTCGTTGAATCTAAATCTCATTATGTGTCTTATGTATCTGGGTGTTAAGATCTCTTATTGTTACATTAATCCTTTTACCCTTGCATCCTTGTAGCTTTGAAATCTATTTTATTAAATGTGAGAATTGCAACTCCTGCTTTTTATTTATTTATTTTTGCTATCCATTTGGTTGGTGAGTTTTTTTCCATCCCCTTGTTTTGATTCTTTGTATATCTTTAGATATATCGTTAGATTTTGTGGATAATGTATATTTTGTGTGTTTAAAATGGAGAGCTCTATTGTGTTTATTTGTTCTGGATCTTAGTTCAAGTCCCGGATATCGTTATCAATTTTCTGTCTCATTGAATCTAAATCTCATTATGGGTCTTATGTATCTGGGTGTTAAGATCTCTTATTATTACATTAATCCTTTTACCCTTGTATCCTTGTAGCTTTGAAATCTATTTTGTCAAATATGAAAATTGCAACTCCTGCTTTTTATTTATTTATTTTTGCTCTCCATTTGGTTGGTACGTTTTTTTTTCCAACCTTTATTTTGAGTCTATGTATATCTTTGGATATACCGTTGGATTTTGTCTGTATCTTTTGATTGGGAGATTTGGTCGATTTAAATTTAGGGTTGCTGCCATTTGATATTAACTGGCTATTTTGTCCTTTCGTTGATAAAAATTCTTCTTTATGTTAATGCTCTTTACTTTTTGGTGTATTTTTAGAAAGGGTCATACTGGTTGTTCCTTTCTGTGTATAATGCTTCTTTTAGAAGTTCTTGTAAAGCAGGCCTGGTGGTAATAAAATCTCTGAGTACTTGCTTGTTCCTAAAAGATTTTATTTTTCCTTCAAATGTAAAGCTTAAATTGGCAGGATATGAAATTCTGGGCTGAAAGTTCTGTTGATTAAGTATATTGAATATTGGCCCCCACTCTCTTCTAGCTTGTAGGGTTTCCGTTGAGAGATCTGCTGTAAGCCTAATAGGCTTACCTTTATGGGTAACTTGATCTTTCTCTCTGGCTGCCCTTAATATTTTCTCCTTCGTTTCGATCCTGGTGAATCTAATGATTATGTGCCTTGGGGTTGGTCTTCTTGAGGAATATCTTTGTGGTGTTCTCTGTATTGCCTGGGGTTGAATAGTGTCCTGCTTTGCTAAATTAGGAAAATTTTTCTGGATAATGTCCTGGAGAGTATTTTCCAGCTTGACTTCATTCTCTCCGTCACATTCAGGTACACCAATCAAGCGTATATTAGGTCTTTTCACATAGTCCCATATTGCTTGGAGACTTTGCTCATTCCTTTTTATCCTTTTTTCTCTATTCTTGTCTTGTCATTTTGTTTCATTAAGTTGGTCTTCGACCTCTGATACCCTTTCTTCTGCTTGATCCATTTGGCTGTTTAAGCTTGTACATATTTCACTAAGTTCTCGTGTTGTATTTTTCAACTCCATAAGTTCATTTGTATTCCTCTCTATATTGTCTATTCTTTTCAACATTTCATCTAACCTTTTTTCCAAGTTCTTAGTTTCTTTACATTGGGTTAGAACAAGTTCCTTTAACTCCCAGAAGTTTCTTATCATCCACCTTTTAAAGCCAACTTCAGATAATGGAACACAGTCCTTTTCCATCAGGGCTTGTTCCGTTACTGATGAGTCCTTTTCCATCAGGGCTTGTTCCGTTGCTGATGAGTCCTTTTCCATCAGGGCTTGTTTCCATCAGGGCTGATGGGTTCTGATTTTGGGTATACTCGGCCTTCTTAGGCTGTTTTTTTCCCTTCATTGTAGATGAACCGCCTTTCTACTTAGGTTTCTGAGTCGACGTCCGACTTATTGATTCCCAGTGCTGGGATCCGAGCAACCCACTGTGGCGGCCTAAATAGCAGCGATAAGACTGATGGTGCTCTTCTGCCCGGGAATCTCTGGTCTGGCTTCCCTCTTGAGTCCGCAACAAGCGGCTCTGACTTCCCGGAGCTCCAAACTCCGGTCAGTAGGGGAAGCGGTCCCGTTGGCTCTGCATGAAGAGCTGCTGCACTGAGACGCGGGCAAAACCGCTGCGGCGGCCACAAGAGTCGCGCTGGCGACCCGTGGGAATCGGCTAATCGGTGAGTGATGAAAATTCATCTAAAGATGTGGCGTCGTCTCGTTCTCTGGGCTTTCACTGGGAGCTACAATCCTGAGCTGTTAGTGGTCGGCCATCTTGGATCGATCTCCAACTTTTCTAAACAGGTAAAAGCAATGGAGAGCTGGAACATGCCTGTGAGCACGTCCAGCACAGATATCTTGGTTAAAGTATGAGGACACAGAACGTACTACATGCCTGTAAGCATGGCCTGTCTAACAGCTACATAGGATAGAGCTTATCAAAGAGTTATTAGCACACTTATGATTTACTCTTTAACAAGAAAGGAAACAGAAGAGGAACTTTTTGACTTCCCACAGCTGGGCGTTGTGGTGCGCACCTGCAGTCCCAGCTACTCAGGAGGCTAAGGCAGGAGGATCACTTAAGCCCAGAAGATCAAGGTTGTAGTGAGCTATGATTGCACCACTGCACTCCAGCCTGGGCAAGGAAGTGAGACCCTGTCTCAAAAAAAAAAAAAAAAAAAAAAGTTTTTGGCCGGGCACAGTGGTTCATGCCTGTAATCCCAGCACTTTGGAAGGCCAAGGCGGGTGGATCATGAGGTCAGGAGATTGACACCATTCAGGCCAACATGGTGAAACCCTGTCTCTACTAAAAAAAAAAGCAAAACACACGCACACAAAAAACTAGTCCGGTATGGTGGTGTGCACCTGTAGTCCCAGCTACTCGGGAGGCTGAAGCAAGGGAATTGCTTGGACCCAGAAGGCAGAGGTTGCAGTGAGCCGAGATTGTGCCACTGAACTCCAGCCTGGGTAACTGAGCAAGACTCCGCCTCAGAAGAAAAAAAAATTTAAGGGGTGCCAAAAAGCTCAGCAATCACAACTAACAATATTTTCTCTTTTTTTCTTAAATTTTTTCTTTTGTAAGACAAATAATATTATCTTTTTTTTTTTTTTGAGACAGAGACTCGCTCTGTTGCCCAGACTGGAGTGCAGTGGTGTGATCTCGGCTCATTGCAACCTCTGACTCCTGTGTTCAAGTGATCCTCCTGCCTCAGCCTCCCAAGTACCTGGGACTACAGGCATGCACCCTCATGTCCAGCTAATTTTTGCATTTTTAGTAGAGAAAGGGTTTCACCATGTTGGCCAGGATGGTCTCCATCCCTTGATCTCGTGATCTGCTTGCCTCAGTCTCCCAAAGTGCCAAGATTGCAGGTGTGAGCCACTGTGCCCAGCCCAAAAATATTTCTAATCTGGCCCTTTACCAAAATATATATGTGTGTGTGTGTGCATATATATTTATAGACACATATGTATATGTATATATGCCTACCCTTGCTCTTAAAGCTTGATTAAATTTAGGGTAAACCTTTTTTATACAGGCTTTCTTTTTTTAGAGTAGTTTTAGGTTCACAGCAAAATTAAGTGGAAGATGCAGAGATTTCCCATCTACCTTCTGCTCCCACTCATACTCAGCCTCCCCCTCGACATCCCTCACTCTAACAAATGCAGAGTGGTGAATTTGCTACGATGGATGAACCCACACTGACACATCCTCATCACAGGAGAGACCTTTTTTTTTGGAGACAGAATCTGACTCTGTCACCCAGGCTGGAGTGCAGTGGTGCAATCTCAGCTCACTGCAACCTCTACCTCCTGGGTTCAAGCAGTTCTCCTGCCTCTGCCTCCCAGGCAGCTGGGATTACAGGCACTCACCACCACACCTGGCTAATTTTTGTATTTTTAGGAGAGATAGGTTTTCGCCATGTTGGTCAGGGGTGGTCTCAAAACCCTGGTCTCAAGTGATTCACCCACTTTGGGCTCCCAAAGTGCTGGGATTATAGGCATGAGCCACTGCGCCTGGCCCAGGATAGACATTTTGACAAGTATACTTGATAGGTGTGTTCATTCTGTGTCAGTACTTGGGAAATGATTGCACACTTAGCAACTTAAATAACTTCTTCTTTTTCTTCTTTTTTTTTTAAGACTCAGTCTCTCTCTTGTCTGCCAGGCTGGAATGCAGTGGCACGATCTTGGCTTGATGCAACCTCTGTCTCCTAGGTTCAAGTGATTCTCCTGCCTCAGCCTCCTGAGTGGCTAGGATTAAAGGCACCCACCACCACATCCAGCTAATTTTTGTATTTTATGTAGAGATGGGGTTTGACCATGTTGGCCAGGCTGGTCTGGAACTCCTGATCTCAGGTGATCCTCCTGCCTCGGCCTCACAAATTGCTGGGATTACAGGCATGAGCCATCGCACCTGGCCAACATCCACTTTTATCTTATAACTTCTGCAAGTCAGGAGTCTGGGCATGGCATGACTGGTTTCTTTTTTCAGGCTCTCACTAGGTGTCAGCTGGACTGGGTTCTCGTTGAGAGGCTCAGGGTCTTCATCCAAGCTCCTTCAGATTCCTGGCAGAATTGAGCTCCTTGAAGCTATAGGAGAGGAGACCTCAGCTGCCCCTCTCCATAGGCAGAGTTTGCAGAACAGCTGCTCCCTTCTTCAAGGCTGGTGGCATTGCATCTGTCTGCTGCTTCATCTCTGACCTCAGACTCCGACTCAGACTGTCTTTAAAAAAAATTTTTTTGTGGCTGGGCGTGGTGGCTCACACCTAATCCCAGCACTTTGGGAGGTCAAGGTGGGCAGATCATCTGAGGTCAGGAGTTCGAGACCAGCCTGGCCAACATGGTGAAACCCCATCTCTACTAAAAATACAAAAAATTAGCTGGGTGTGGTGGTATATGCCTGTAGTCCTAGCCACTTGGGAGCCTGAGGCAGGAGGATTGTTTGAACCTGGGAGGCGGAGGTTGCAGTGAGCTGAAATCATGCCACTGTACTCCAGCCTGGTGACAAAGTGAGACTCTGGGTCAAAAAAAGAAAAAAAAAATTTTTTTAGTGATAGAGTCTCGCCGTGTTGCCCAGGCTGGTCTAGAAGGCCTGTCTTCAGATGATCCACCTGCCTTAGCCTCCTAAATTGCTTAGATTACAGGTGTGAGCCTCTGCACCTGGCCCAGTAGCAACTTTTTATGTTTGATGAAAATAAGAATATCCAGCCTGGGCAATGCAG